AATTTTTCTTAAATATTTAACGTTTAGATAACTCTTTACTAATATTAATAAATTAAAATTTACAAACTGTCGTAAATTGAGTGTGAAACAATACAAACAGCACTAAAAGTATCATTGATAATTATGCATAACGCAAAAACTTGGAAATAAAAACAATTCAAAAGTCCAAAAGCAGCTTTACACATTAATTCAAGTAGACCAACTCAGTCTTCGGTCAGACATTGACGATGCACAGCACCGGCAGCGAAATCCCTAGTAAACTCGTAAAATTATTCAATGCGCAAGTAAGCGTACGGGGAAGGCAGCAACCTAAAATAGTCGACAGTGCTGCAGCACATATCCGCGACCTGTACTTCAACACTATACTCAAAGAGAGGGAGAGAGAGAGGCTAAAACCGCTTTCTCGCGCGACATCTGCTTTCGGCAAAAGGTTGCTGCGACGAGCTTTGAGAGCACGTGCGACAATAACCTGTCTCTCTCTGCTTTCACCGCTAAGTACTGCGCGCGACTTGCGGCATGCAACTGCAGCACAGTAGACGATTTATATATCGTGCGTTTTATCGTCTGCCCGCATGTATATACCGCAAGCCACCGTCGACATTACATTTTACGATTTATATTTCAATAGCGCATGCACGCGGATCTTTCAACGTTGCGTCGGCAGAAAAGAGAAAAAAAAAATGTATAGTCGATTTGTTTGCCGGGAGCAACAATGTATGTACGAACGATCGACGCAGCAATTTCCACGTCACCGCTCTTTGCACTTGCATTTCGAGGCACATGAAAGTAGCGAAGGCGATGGGGCGAATAATAAAAATAGAAAATAAAATCAACAAAAAACGTGCAACGCACATATTTCGCTTAGATTGCATGTACGTCATGGAGTAAAATACGCGAGAGCATAGGTCCTTTGTCGCGGGCGTGGAATCCCAAGCTTGCTTCGACCTCGCATATTTGCGGGACACCACGCGGGGCATTAAACCTCGCTTTGATGACCAACACTCTCACAATTTTGACTCGCGTGCATAGAAATTTTTTCGTCTCGATATTCCGCGCTTGTTTAGCATTTTCACCTTCGATTAGACGTAATGGAAGAGGGAATGTCGAACGCTTGTTTGAATTTCGATGGCACTTTTCGCTGCTCTGTGCGCTTGTTTACGTGATCGTTTGCGTGGCTTTGGATGAGTATTAACGAGAAAGGTTCGTTCGAATAGTAGTGACATGTATTCATAAGTCCTCATTGAAAATCTATCGGTTGGTTTTCAATGAAATAAGCCAACGAATGAAACAAAATAGTTAAAGTAATTCAAGCTAACAAGGCAATCAAAATTTTCATGAATACACCGGTATACATAACGAGGCAAGCATCTGCATATAATTCTTATTAAGCACGATCCAAATGGCAATCTGCACGTTAACCATTTCCTCTCGCACAAAGTGCACGCACACGCACATATAACCGAGAATGAATCGACAATGCGTGTTACGAATGCTCGCTCAATTATGAACGAGCTATTCGTAGAGTCTCTCTTTCTCTCTCTTTCTCATGGCGGCATTCGAACAAACAAATTCAATGAGTCGAGGATACCGTACACATCGGTCGATTAAGTATAAAATTCGGAATTGTACAAAGATCAAAGCAGCTCTGATTAAGCGCACTCGGCTCAAAAGAAAAAGCCGCAATGATAATTACAGGAACTGAAGAAAAAAGAAAAAGCCTTTCTTGGCGCAGACGAAAGAATAAAAGAGAGAGAATGTTTATTAGGCAAAGAAAAATGGGAGGATGCGTGCAACGAAGCGGAAATGCCAAACAAAAGGACCGCAGGATTTAAAGAATAAATCCAGCACAAGAGAGAGAGAGAGAGAGAGAGAGAGAAATTCACGTGATGAAGCTTTAAAACGAACTACCGCGTCGCATATGGACGCTTGGATACTTCTATTCGAATAGGCGAAACGAGATCCGGGTATATATGTATTTTCTCTCGCATTTTCTTCGGCAATGTCGTGCGGGCGTATCATGGAATTCCGCTGTTACGCTGGTTTACTGTCTCTCTACGGATATATACGTGTGTGTGCACGCGTGCGTGCGTGCGTGTATTTTGTATATTTTATTGCTCTATTCTCTCCTTAATTTACATGAAACGGTCTCTCGCGCTTTTCAAGCCTGAAAAATTCTTAAAATATTACTGTCGTTCCGCTACTTTCGTCCTTCTTGTTCATCTATTTTTTCATTTTGATCTTTTACGATTGTCGTGACAACATTTCTTATCTTCTCCTTCATTCCGCCATCTGACGCGTTCATCCGACCTTTTCACATTTATTTTATATTCTCTTCAGAGATTACGAACTGCTCGAATGTCCGTCTTACGAACAAATTGATAATAAATTTACAGAGATTAATCACTAGGATTCTTATCGTAAAACGCTCACCTGAGAGCTTTATTTCAAAATTACTTGTTAAAAACACAAAGAAACCCCGAATATTCTTTTCTAGCGCGCAGAAAATCACACGCAGGACAAAACATTTTTTAATTTATTTGTAGCCGCAGCGACGTGAAAGCAAAGAAGACTAGGAAAAGCCTAATCTGATTCTTTGTTTTCCCATCTAAATAATTCTCCGCATTCCGAAACAGATTAAAGAGCTGGAGCGTAAACGCAGGATGGTATATAACTATTGCTGTAAAGTAGGCGAAACGCCCACAAGAAAGTCGTGTGTGTGTGTATATATATATATGTAAAGGCTTGCAAGAGCAAGGTATTTTTGTGTTTTGCTGCTGCGGTTCGTTGCTCTTTGAGAATTATTTCGCCTGCTTCAGCGGTTTATCTCGACGAGAAAAAGGCACCTTCATATCAGCCGAGATTTTGCCCGCGCAAGCTCGAAAACAACTTGCTAATCTTTCGTTAATTACATCGCTCGGTGCATTAACCAAAGGGCCTGTGCCTTTTATCACGTTAATTATAAGCGCGTAAAGAGCTTAATGGCCGAGTTTTACCGCAGCAGGCAGAAGTTTTTTTAATAATGTCGATCACGATAGAGATTTCGTATTATACATATCACAGATAGTTATAATACCATGCGAAAAGCTGCTGGCCGAACGAAACGGTTTAAGTTTACCTCATGGTTGCAGTAATAGCCGGTGCTCTGCTAATGCTCTTCCCAGCTCTCTGCTGCATCTCTATTTCTCCGGTCTTTGTTCTTTCTCATATCCCCGCGGCTTTCTCTGCTTTCTCTCCTTATCGTCCATTCTGCTGCCAATTTAGTTCTCACTAATCCAACTCCCCGTCCTCCCTTCCTCTCTCTCTCTCTCTCTCTCTCTCTCTCTCTCTCTCTCTCTCTCTCTCTCCCTCTATCTTCCACGCACGATTTCGAGTAAATAATCGGAGCACTAATTAAGCGACCAGTTTAATTAGCATACTCGTCTGTGTTTGCGTGTGCACCAGTGTATTCGGAGAGGGAGAGAGCAATATTCGTTCGATTGGTTTCATATCGTTCTCATAATCGTGGTCGAGCTAAACCATCTCCGCGTCTGCGGTTGGCTCGACTCATCGAAAGGGAGTGCTAGTTATTTTTTCATTTGATCGAAAAGCAAAAATGGTCCGGCCTCCGGTCTACGATACGCACCTAACTCAAATTGCATAGTTGCGTTAAACAATGCAAAGAACTCGTAATATGCGCGATATAATATTGCCTCGTTGAAAATTTATGTTCTAAACATGGAAAATTAAGCTCTGGAATTTGGGGCATCGACGCTAAGATGTAACTAAAAATTGGTCCGAAAATTTTCCAAGAGAGATAGAATGATTGGTAGTCCCTCGCCGAGCGCATTGATTGCGCAGTAATTTTAACGAGCATGCATTTCCAGATTATAACTCAAAGTAAAATTAAAGAGCCGTTGGGACTCGAATAGTATTCCTCATTAAATATATAACCTCTCTGTCATTCTCTCTCTCTCTCTCTCTCTCTCTTTCTCTCCATTTATGTTAAGCAAAGCCATCGACAAGCAGCTTATTTACTCCCATTAGGCACACCTCGCTTTGCTCACTCATAACTAACGCGAATAGCAAACGTTTACCGCGGATAATCTCAACTAATTTTCTACGCGAACGACACTACTCGATTCGCCCGCGCACGCCATTCGATATGGAAGTGATAGAGAAAGCAGCTTCAATTAACAATATAAACGAAGGGGTCAGCAACGCTAAGAATATCAATAGAGAGAGTAAAAGGTTATAATGGCTAATCCTTCTCTGTTTCTCGATACTCGATATCCTCGCGTGCGCGCGGCTAGGCAAATATTTGCACGCTAATAAAGTTACCGCTAATGAAAGCCAGCGGCGGGATAAGTGAAAGAAGCGACGCGACGGCGCTCTGAGTGCACAGGCGGCCGATGTCTATTGCTCTCCTTCCCTACTCGAGTGCCGCTCTTGCGCGTTATTACACGGCTGTGTGCCTTGTAACACTGAGATTTCAATGGACCCGGGCAATTTTTCATTTTGCAACCGTTTGCTTTTCCGTCGCGACGACACCGTCACCTCGGAATACTCGAATGAGAATGCGCGACGCGCGATTATCATTTGGCAAAAGTCTAACCCCGTCGACGTAAGACGAGCAGAAGAAGCAGGGGAAAAAAGCAATCTCACTCCCAGTCCTACTTTCCCTTGCAAAACAGAAACAAATCACGAGACGAAGAAAGAAACTAGAGAAAGGAGGCACACGCATACGTACACACAGAAAACGAGAGGAAAAAAAAGAAAAGAAACGAGCGAGCGACCCAGAAAGAGTCAGTCACGTCGACGCGCTTAATTATTCCGTTTCTGGAGTATGTCTCGTCGACGATTGAGGAATAAAGCAGGGAAAGAAGACGGCAGCCTAAAATATCTTTGAGATATATTAGCGTTTGAGTCTATATTACATGCACCCAGACCGCGAATAAGCGACGGCTGCTGAATAATGTACACGTCAGTAGAATAACCAGTATTTGCCTGTTTTCTGCTTGCAGCCAAACTCGACGGCGTGAAGACTTACATGCGCATGAGAAGGGTTCCGAGTCATCTGCAGGTCAAGGTTATCAAGTGGTTCGATTATCTCTGGCTCACACAGAAGTGCTCCGACGAGGAGAGAGCCGTGAGCTGCCTGCCAGGTTAGTTGTACGTTTCTTGCCCGTTCTCGCGGCCGACTTAACTCGATCCGTTCCACTCGCATCGAGGACTTTCGATGCGCGGCAAAAGCGCCTTTTCGCGTCGCGGTCAAGCCGAGCACGCTAATAAAAGGAAAATAGCGCGCTAATCAATATCAAATCTCATCGAAAGTCAAGAGCAGCAATTCCGAGAAACGTTGAATCGGAGCACGTCTAACAAGCCCGTTCATAAGCTATTCGACAATTTTACGCGAGTCGTCAAATTTGGATATTATGCCCGTACGTCGTATAAAGAAAGTTAACAGCTATGCATAAAAAGGAGCGTAAAAGCTCCATATCGTGGAAACTTTCTTCTGAACTCTCTCAACCTAATCAATGTCCGCGCAAATCCAACGGAATAGGATCGCGACTGATACGAGTAGTACGGGACCGCGTCTATTCGTCGATTAAACCAACAGCCCTTTATCCCGCGCTCGTCGTCGTCAAAAGAAAAGAGTCAACATAGAGCGCCTGCGCGTCTTCAACGTTATTTCAATTATATTAGCGCGCGAGCGCGCGTCGTAAAAGCGTGCGCACACTCGTAAAAGACCTCGCTTCGTCCACTTGAGTCGCGCGCTCGCGCAAGCACCTCGTAACGTGTCCGCCGCGGTGCGCGCGCGGGCGCGGCCCTCCTACGGACGAAGCTTATTTATATGCGCTTTGGCAGAGCAACAGATGCCGAGGACCTGTGCTATTTTGGACGCTCACTTGCCTCGTTCAAGAGAGACGTGTCGTGAGGCTTACTTACGTCGATAGCTCCACATTCAATTTCATTCTCGCGCTGTTTTTTTATTGTCCCGGCTTTTTTTCTTTTTCATCAAGTTTATTCTGTTCGATAAAACCTAAGTGATAAACGGCATGGATTCATCCGCCGAGAAAAGTAGTATTTAATAAAAGAAAAGGAAAAGAAAGAAGAAAACGAAATAGCTGAAATAAAGGGAGGGGAACGAGAAAAAAAGCACATAAATACACGTCATTATCTTCTCGCTCTATCTCTCTCCTTTGCCATAGAATAGCGCCAGCGAAATATCTAGCTGATGGTGGCTCATCTGACTCGCAGCATCTTTGTTTTATACCTGCCGCGTGTTCGCTGCCGCTCTTGGCTAGGGCTACTAAAGAGAAAACCCGGGAATGACCACGGCAGCCATTGGCTCGCGGGCACGTTGTTACATTTTTTCCTCCTCCGAGCTTTTTGCGCCTCGCTCTTTATCTGTCGTATTTTTCGATTATTAACCCTGGAATTATTTACGCGTCTTTTCTTTGTCGCTTTGCGCGATAAAGATTATCGCCTCTCTCTCTTTTTTTTTCATTATTGAATATACTTTCTCGCGTTAGGTAGACGGGCGAATCGTAAAAGAAAAAGAAGAACTTGAGCATCGAGACGGTTTGCCATTGGACTTTTCTCGAAAGACACGCGCACAGCGCGGCACTTTGATTTATCGAATGCGTCGCGAGCGCGTGAAAAATGTGCCAAGGATATACCGACAAGGACAAAAACCGAAAGCGTGGGGCGGCTTGGGATGAACAATTTTTTTGAGAAAAAGAGCAGGTTATATACTTAGGAGAAAGAGAGAAAATCCCCGAGCGAGCGTATCACATATGTGCGCCAGGGTGCGTCCGTCGAATCGGATTATCGGTTGCTATAAATTCTCCTCTTTGTGCCTAGCTCGTCGTCGTCGTCGTCGTCGTCGTCGCCTCGGCTCTCCGGATACAGTGGACATTACAAACAAGCAGCACGGAGAGAAATCTTATCGACATGTGCTCTAGCAAATACAGTGAGACAAGAGAGGGAGAGAGATCCTTTGTAAGAGTTTGGACGGGATATCGTGCATATTTTTCAAAATCTGACTGGTGGAAATTGCCTCGATCATTCGCAGTGGAATATGTACACGCAGGCAAATTGTTTCGTCTTTTTTCCTCTCACTCTCTCTGGCATTCGCATGATGAAATTCCCTGTCCAATTTATGAATCTACGATCCTGTGTCAGAGAAGAATTAATCAGACGATGAAACGTCAACGAACTAATTCATCTTGAATGTCAAAGGAAAAAAAAAATTGAATCACTAAATCACTCATGCATGCGGTTTTGTACCGTAAGCTCCTATGTGTTCGTACAAAAGGCTCGTTCTTCCCGTTCTCCGCAGCCTACAGCCCTTTCAACGATCTCTCTCTCTCTCTCTCTCTCTCTCTCTCTTTGCATTCACAATATCTAAGTCAGACTCAAAAAAGCTCGTTCTCTTTACACCCACACGTACGAGTACATACACACAGCCACGGATACTCGCTCGCTCACTCCTTCCTTTCTCATTCGATATGCGTCTCTCGAATTCTCGGCTCGGCGCTTCCGAAAAGATTTTTTGCGAACAATAAGCTGCCTCCACTATTCGATTTTCCATTTCGTCCTCGTTGCCGTCTTCGAGTTTTGCTTTTCTCTCGCGCTCGCTGGTTTGCGTCCGAGGTCGTCGTGCGGCTTTGCTCTCGCCCCTCCGATTCTCAATATCGATTCGCCGACACAGAGGAGACGACGAATAAGTTCTCTCCCAGGATAATAGTAATAAATAGCCCAAGTAGATATCTGCTACAGAAATAGTTCAAGTCTATCCGCTCTCCTCCCCTAGTGGGACGTGCTTCTGCAAACCTGATTTTCTCATATTTTTTTTCTCTTTTGCACGTGCTCTTCGCGACGAATTTTGAGTTGTTCACTGTCTCGACATCTCTCCGATCGACGCTCCCCGATAAAATATTCAATTTCAAGTCTAGACAATGTCACCGCAATATTTCAATAATAAATCAATGAACCACTGCGTCGCGGTTGAAAACTCTTCCTGAAAAATACAGAGCGACAATGTATTAATGCTCCTCGCCGTTGTATTTTCGTCCATTTGCCGTTTTACAGACAAACTGAAAGCGGAGATAGCCATCAACGTTCACCTGGATACACTGAAGAGGGTCGAGATTTTCCAGAACACGGAGGCCGGCTTTCTCTGCGAGCTCGTGCTAAGGCTACGTCCGGTCCTCTTCTCACCTGGGGACTATATTTGCCGGAAAGGTAAGCACGAAGTTGAAAAAAACAGACAACAACGCCTTTCGGCACTTCTCTTTTCCTCGCTAACAAAAGGGACAATCCGGTGCGGCGCAGTGGCGAAACGTGAGCTGCAAGCCGAACACGACAAAGGCTCTTCTCGCTCTGCCACTCTCTTCTCCCGCCGCGTCGACGTCTTTTCTTCTTTATCGCGTAAACGAGCCGACTTTTCTATTCTCCGGCGCCCACTCAATTTTTTCGCGTACGCGCGGCCAGGATTGAGCTCCGCGACGAGGCTTTGTGGATTGTTTCTCTTTGACCGTGCCGTGGTCGTCAGGTGCCCCGCAGTGGATTTTCTAAATCTTATTTGTAAAGACTGATAAGCCGGAGGAATACAAATGCCAAATCCATGCCGAAAGCCGTGTGCAGACCGACGAGATAACCGACGAAAGAAGCCGTGCAGCCGACGATCATAAAGCAGCTACATCTCGAAATCATCAGCCGGTCGAAGGATAGCGAGTTGCGAACTTTCAGAGCTGCGATCAAAGCGATCGAATGAAGGATCGTGTCTCGTGCTTTTCTCGTGGGATCCCCGACACGACTACTTTAATCTCTATTTGGCGAGAGCGCGTGAGATATTTTTCTCTTGCGATGCAATTAAATAACTTATTAAGAGTTCGCGCGACTTTTCAATAGAGGCTTTTCTCTTCCGTAATCTTCGGATCATCAGTTTGCTAATAAAAGGAGGAGGACTTGCCAGGCTACATCCTATCTGCGAAGGAAATCCTCCGAAGCAGGCAAACTTTAACGCGGATGAACTGTAATTAGCTACAGTCTGTTAATTTAACTAACCGACGCTCAACTTGCGAAGCTCTATGGCTCTCTGCCTTTGTTCTTCTTTGAGCCCCTTTCTTAACTTGTCGCATAGCCGGATGGTTTTTTCGCAATCTCATTCGATTAATCGAATTGTTTGGCAGGATAAAACTGTTTGCTCATGCTTGTACGATGAAAAGTGCGCAAGCCCCGCTACGCTGCGCGTAAGATCGTCGTCAACGCGCCGTGTCTCACTTTATCCGCAAATTCGTTGTGCAAACGGGCTGACGAATCCCTCAGCTCGCATGATAATCCGGCTTAAGTCTAATGAATGCACATAGCATATATTACGTATATGTATATAGACGCATGCAACGGAACGCATGCAAATTTGCGAGCGCTCGCGAGACGAGGTGCTCCATAACTATTGTCGAGGATCAATGGCGTGAATTTGGCATTTGCATGAAGTTAGATGCGCGTTTGACAATGCTTGCGAGTTAAAGTGGTATATGGCGTACTTATCGTTTGTCGGTTGTTGATGAAATTCGGCGCGAGTTTGATATTCGCTTCGGCGTCGTATCGAGAGCGGCGGTGCGCGCCGTCCAAGTAGTAGCTTTTCCGAGCGAGAGCGCACGGTGCATACCAGATGGCTTGTAAATACTTGGGATCGAAATGCGACGAGGCAATCAAGATCTCGAGCGGGCAAGAGGGCACTTTATTTCAAATCGTGAATATCTTCCGAAAATGACGCTGCTCGCTTTGAGAAGAGCGCCGTTAATGAGCGCAAGTTTTTAGCCGCTGCGCGTTTCTCAGAGTCACTTTCAATCGAGCGCACGGCATATGAAACCTTATTTAAAACATTCGAGTCGGCTTTACGAGAACTCGATGTACGTTCCGACCGTCCTTTATTTACCAACGAACAATTCCAGTAAAGCTTTGATCGTAGAATTGACTTCAAGTTGGCAACCGAAGAAATTCATTGATCTTCGCCATTCTTATTGAAACGAACATTGCTGCGCACCAGGAATTTCAGCTGTGGAGTTCTCGATTTGATTTCGCGTCGTAAAATCGACCACGGAACCGAATAATGCTCAATTTGAATGGCCAATTATTATAAGTAGTAGAACTCGAAATCAAACCAAAGAGTGACGTCGGCGATTCAAAGTGAATAACATGTGAAACGAAATGTTTTGCAGGCGAAGTCGGCAAGGAGATGTACATAGTGAATCGCGGTCGACTGCAGGTGGTAGCTGACAACGGAAAAACGGTGCTCGCCACACTGAAAGCCGGCTCGTACTTTGGCGAGATCAGCATTCTCAATATGGGCACTGCAGGTAAAGAGTGCGGTAAATATTCCAAGCGAAGCGGCACCCGCCAACACACGATTTGGCTGGCAATCCAACCGCCGACAATTGTCTGCCCGCCGATCAATATAATCCCATACTAACCGTTCTTTCGTAAATATTAATCATTGCGAAATAAATTGTCATTTCCCCCTTTTTCTTCATTTGTATCTGTTCTATATCTTTTATATGAGCCGATCTATAACGCACTTCTCTCTCTCTTTCTCTTTCTCTTTCTCTCTTGTTCATTCAGCATATTGTAATTATATCTATTTTCTTTTTCTACATCCCTTTCATCGAACTGCTGATGCTTTATTCTTCTTGCTTTTTTTCGAAATTTACGTATGATTCACTTTCGTTCTCCTCACCCGCTCTGACTTTCTTTTCTTTGTTGTTATATTTCCTTTCGGATACTTCTTGTATGATGTGACAGTCCAGTTTATATTCAATTTTGGTAGTGTTACTGAATTCCTATATCTTTGACACTTAGATATATCATTTGTGGAATCTCTGATTTGAAATACATACCAATATACTCTTAGATGTATAAGTTAGAAAAACATTTTCGAATTTCTTTCACGTCTACTTGAATTTTATACAATACATGCACCCTTTTGTCTCAGTGACGTAAAAAGGAAAGACGTTAAACGTACTTGTGATCCTTGCATGAAGAATATAATTCTATCAAAAGTCTCAATTACAAATTGTTTTATTATACTGTATATCCTTCCCTCTAGAAGTGAAATATTCGTGGGCATTGTATCAATTGTGCATGTTAGCTCTTGTCTTTGACTTGTATGCTTTGACAAAAAATCAAATTTGGCAATACTCTCTACAATTGATTGTCGTCGAATAAGGAAAGTAAACGTCCCGATTAAACATCAAGCATTCGAAAGAAATAAACAACGATACGTGCGTCGAGCTCAACTTATTTAAAAAATAACTCCATTACCAGATGAACGGAAACACTTGTGGATTCGATAAATCTTCGCGCGGGCGTGGGGAAATCCCGAGTTATAAATTTGATAAAGCAACGCGAAGCACATAATCTTGGCGGGCAAAGCCAAAAATAAGCTCGAAGCGACGGCGTCGGCCGAGCGGCTCGGCCGTCGGGGGAAATTAGCGGTGCAAGCCTCGCAACAACAATTGAATTGGAAACAAGCGCGCGCGCGGCCGACGCGCGCTATTTGTACAGTGGCTGCAGCCGCTGTTGCCACCATAAATTGCCGACCGGCTAAGAGATTGGATTCGGCTTTAATTACGGCGCAAACCGACTTGCGCGCTAGAAAACATTTTGCAGCTCGACGCGCGCAGCGATCTTATTCTCTCTCTTGTTTTTTTTTTTCCTTTTACCTTTTTTTGGTTTCGCAACCTTCTTCCTTTCTTTCCCACCGTCCTCACTTTCCTTCTCTGCATAGTTTTGGCTTTTATAGCGCCGGCATATTTCCCAAGTGCAAGGTCACCTTGGCTTTTCTTTTCGAGAGACTAACGCTGCTTTTACGACGGTTCTGTTTGAGCGCGGCGGTACGCGCGCGGAGCGGCGTTGCTCCTTGTTTTAACGGGTTCGTCCCTAGATGTTTTACCGCGTTTAGTCGTCGGATACGAATTTGTCTTTTCAAACTGCTGGGACCAAACCTTCAGGTGTAACGATACTATACGGGCGATAGCAAACTTTATTCGTATCTGTCGATTGAAATACTTCTAGCTTGCGTGATGAGAAAATAGATTAGTAAAAGCTTCTGCACGCGAAAATCATATAGTGCTCATAGTTTATTCTTTGATACAGCTATACTGCTTGTGGCAGATTAATGATCACTAATGATTTCCGAGAACAACGCTTTATTTGAAATTACTGAAAATATTATATTTTTTAAATTAATTATCTCGTAATTTTTTTCATTTTATGAGAAAGATTCACTAGTTATCGAATGATTATTTTTATATTTACAATTAATAATTCAATTGAATGAATTATATATCAACCTTTAAGTACACATTCTATTTATGAAATTCCTAAAATTAATATTAAGTAATAAATAATATATCCTAATATGGCAGATTAGTGCAATACACTTAAATTCTATTACACATCAATTTTTTTAGTAAGCTAACAAGATTTTATCAACTCCTCATAGATTAATTTTAGCACGACCCCGTAATTCAGTAGAACAGTTTTTATCCTACGTAAATTAGCTTTCAGATTATCACTTCGCCAATATCCTTAATTAATTTAAGATTAGACATTAAATTAAAGTGAATACAATAACTGCACAATTGCAGGTATATGTAAGTAGGAAAACGAACTAATAAATAGTAATGTAATGAATTTTTAATTGTAATGTTTTAATTACGGCTGCACAATAGTCTTAAAAAATCTTCACTGCATACGCTCACCTTGTAGAACCCCTGTTGGAAATAATTTATGCATCAAATTATAATAAACAGTAATCATCGGTTACTAACATTTGCTAATAGTTAATTCTAATTTATAACCTTTATAAATGTCAAATTTTTGACACATATAACAATTATAAACAGTTATGTTCTGTAAAAAAACTGTTATTATTAAATAATCATTAAATAATAACAGTTGTTTTCATTTACTAACGTTTATTTGTGTTTTTATTCACCAGAACAAATTTATTTTGAGAAAGAATAGATGCAAATAAATATAAATAATAACTGCATTATGAATAACTGCAAATAACAGTTATCACCAATTACCTATTGGAATGAAAAATTACTAAGTATTATTTGCAGTTAATTGTAATTATTGATTTGCCAATACCAGACGCAAAAAAGTACTTATAGGCGAAAATATTAAATGATAATAACGATATATGTGTGTTTAAAATAATTTGTAATTATCTTATGTAGTACATAACTATTAGAGTTGTAAACGATTATTTGTATTTTTGAAATTGATTTAAAAACTGTTCATATCGACTATTAATAGCAAATTTCTTTTACGAGAAAAAGATGAATTTCTGAAATTGTCTATAGCTGTTAATAACTGTTAAACTTGTCTAAAATCTGTCGTTTATAAACTATTTTAAATTGCAAATAACTGCGTGTAACAGTTTTACTCAAAAATCACTTCCAACAGGGACCTAAAAAAATGAGAATATTCTACTGATTGTTGAACTGCAAAGAACAATTTCTTGTACACAATAGTTTGACATTTTATTTAATTTCATTTAATTTCATTTATTTATTTATTTTGATTGCTCATTTAAAAATTAATTGTTCATGTGTTTCTTCGCCTCGAAAAGAACAAACGAGCGTGTGAAAAGTGAGCCAACGTTACGAGCTATGGCTGAAAAATATATTCATATTTCGTTTGTATTTATGCTAATGATGACTAATTAATACGGTCTGTCATGCAGTCCTAGAATACTGCAGTCATATGTATATGTAAATACAGGAAATTCTTCTTATTTAACGGGCGTATGCGTTTAAAATTTACATCTCGCTCGCCGATTATAACTCTCCCTGTAGTACATAAAGAATGATACTCCGTGACTAGCTTTACAAACCCATTAACCGTAGGATCCGCTTTCATCCCTTATACATAGTCATGTATAGAGTTACTTAAATTTCCATCCAAATTATGTCTCTTAGAGAAATTACCTAGCACTTGCATCTCAATCTTACATAGTTTGTACTAGAAGTTCCATTATATCAACAGTAGTTATACTCCAATGTGGCACTTTGGCACTTTATCTTACACAAATAGAAAGTTCTTAGAATTACTCAATGTGTCATATCTAAAAACAAAATTGAAATAGATATTATTTAGCTTAAAAAAAAGCAAAAGAAATGATAATCATCTGATGAAAAATCTCACTCATCTATTGGTATGCCGATGTAGAATGAACTTTACTTTTTCAAATTAATTTTCACCTTACTTCGTAGAACAACTTTGTAGTTCCTATTTATCATATTTTTTATAGATTGCATCTAGGAATACGTATATTTATTACAAGATATTTTTTCGTATTTAACAGCAATTTCAACTAAATTTAAATTGTCAATAAATATCACTGTAACGAGCAGAAAATCATTACGTTGAAGAAAATCGTAATCGTTTGTACTGTTTCTTATCATATAAATCCTTTCAACCGTAAAAGAATGTACTGCAAATATGAAATGGTTACTATAAAATGTAAATTTCATATTACTATCCTTGGTATTAACGATTGTATCTTAGTTTATATAAAAAAAGATAAGATAATTTTTATTTTTTATGCTCAACCAAATCGCTGTGATTTTTTTTTCAACGGAAACTCTTTATTAACGTATAATCATTTCAGACTATTATCTAAAATTGTAGTGATTTTATCGAGAAAGAAAAGTACAAGCATTTTTTCTAAAACTATTTTTCGTAATTCAATAAATAAATCTGTTGTTCTGTTTCATGCTCATACGATTTGAAGATTTTTATTATTTTAATGCATACGTTTTTAGACGTGGACGTAGATGGCTTACTAAAATTTCTAATAATTAGTTGTATTTCATACAAAAAATTTTAATTATCTAATAATCGAAATGGTGCCTACTTTTTCATATTTTATACAATATTGAGTAGAAAAAAAAATTCAATAAAATACATATGCATATTCTTATTATTTTTCTCTATAAATGTTATTGGCACAATTTTATGTAGAGAACTTTTCAAAAATCTATATATTTATTCTTTTCAATCTTACAACTTCTCGTTATATTATTAATATGATATAATTTAGGCTCCTATCCTTTGAAATGGTTTTTGTCTACTTGTAAACTGTTGTCTATGTCTTACCTTAAAATTTTAAAAAAATGTTCAATGTTTAAAATATTAATATATGTACCATGGAAAACCGATATGCCGCTACGCTCGCGCTTAATCGAGTATGTTTCAGAATTTACATAATCATTTAACATTGCTGTGGAAACTTGTATACATACATTTTTACGCATAGCAACACATTTAGACGAGGCTGCACCATTGAATGAATACGGGGCACGTGATCAAAAAGCACATTATATGTCACGATAAGAACATATAGCGATTTTTATGCACTTATTCTAAATTTCAGATCAGCTATTGATCTTTAGAATATTTTTGTAACATGGTCAGATTTTCAATTTGTTGACAAGAAAAATGAGTTCCCGAATTGAGACTTGATTGTTGGGAGCCTCACAGATTCACTGATGTAGATAGAGTATAGATACTTAAAATATTTAAGTGTATATATTTCATACTATTCCAGTCAAATTAGATCGTAATTGCTATTTCTTGATTATACATAACTAACTAGTCTGGAAAAGAATAAACATTTAAATCATAGAATAATGTAATTTTTTATTTGCAAAATCATCTTTCAATAGTTTTACATTAGATTGATTTAGAACCTAATTAATAGAATATTCTGTCATTGTTTTAAGAAACTTATTTAAAAAAATATATCTAAAATATTAAATGATCAAGGAGAATGTGTATTTTTTGTTTCTTTTTAGTTTCATCGGAAATGAAATGTTCAAATTGAAATTTATTTGAGTGAGATGTAAAATCAAATGATATAATCGGATAAAAACAATACCATGATATCAATTATAATCGAAATATTTTCATGAAAATGCTCATTTTTACCAAGACCAAAGAATAGAATTGATGTTTATCTCAACTAATGTTGCGCGAATATGCCAATATTAATCAAGTAGAAGCATATATTTATCGAAGAATAGGCAATTTTCCATATGAACATCTGAGTCTAATGGCGATAATAAAAATTCATTGAGCTTGCAACACGGCGACTGAAGGAAAAACAAATAAAAACTACATTTACCCCCTCGAGCCTGATTCAATATGCCGTGGTTGTTTCGAGCGCCGCCGTTTAATAATCGTCAAACCATATTTAAGAGCTCACTGAATTTCAATTTCAATCTTGGCCCTGCCTCCTATGCCCCCGTGTAGGAATATCGCGACGATCACAGTAGTCGTAAAACTTCCTATTCAGCCTGCCCGACAGTCAGCCTGTGAGCTTTGCTCTCTTGCCTTCCGTCTTCGACAGACATTTCTAATATTTTTCAGTATCTGTCGTAATTGCGCCTCATTTAAATGTTTTCAAAGATATTGGTATAATCGATGCAATTCTATGTCTGCCCGCAAAGTACCTACACTCAAATTAAACGTCTCTTAGTTGCGATTTTTTAAGTTTTATTCTGGTGAAGTGAAAAATATTAATCATCTTAAAAGATGTACTTAATTGTGAAGTAAGAGTATTTATTTCTATGTAAAATGTATATTTTCAAAGTAGCGGCTGTAGAAAGCTTGTGGATATTTTGTAGAAAGATAAAATATTATAGGACGTTGAAATTTTTATCTAACTGTGATTCTACAAGACTTCATTAGTCTAGAAAGCGAAATTTTCAATACCGTAAATTACGTTCAAGTATAAAGTAGATGTGTCTCACGCGCCCTATTGATTAAAAATGTTTGATTTCCTAAGTTATTTGTTTTTTTTTCAGTAAGTTTAATTTTGCGATATTTGTTAGAGAACTCGACTTATGGACGAAATAGTAATTAATAAAACAGTAATTCTAAACTACAGATTTAAATCATAAACTACTTACGTTAGCTCATTCAAGATGCAACATGAAAAGTGGTAAATTGTTTTTTATTGCTCCAATATCAAAAGAAACTGACGTACTTAAATTGAGTTTAAGGATTTACATAGTCATGAAACGAGAAAAAGACAAACATATGTAAGCCAAAAAAAAATGTACCGGTAAATTATTTTTTTACGAAAAAAAAAAAGAATACAACTGAACGGAAATGGAAAAAGTAGAGAGGAGGCATAAAATGAGTTCAAAACAAGCAAGGGTAGTAGAACGAGTAGTAGCAAAGCTCAACAAGCTCTCAAGCAGGCAAAACTCTCTCCCTCTCCCTCTCTCTGTAAAAAGCATTCGCTCGTTACCAATACAGAAATAGCCCGTGCGTTAGTGCGCCACGCAAACACACACGAACAAGGTAACAATACCACACTCGCTCAGAGACACGCCGTGCTTACGTATACGAATAGAACTATATATATGTGTGTGATATGACGATAAGACAGTAAATGAGATGAAATGCGAGATGAAAGCTCGAGCGAGCGGCAGTGGTTCACGTTGTTAATAACGGATAAATCGCTAAATCGACGCAGGTAACCGGCGAACAGCGAGCGTCAGGTCTGTCGGCTACTCAGATCTCTTCGTGCTCAGCAAAAAGGACATGTGGGACGTACTGAAGGAGTATCCAGCTGCCAGGGTGCGCCTCGAGGCGATCGCCGTCAAGAGGCTCGAGAAATACAAGCGAGCGCCACTCGAGAAGGGTAAGCTTCTGTCCAGCCCTTTCTTCTTCCTGAAACGCCTCAATCTTTGTTTCCTCACCTCACGGCTGCTGCTGGATAATTGCTTTTTAATATACGAGTGCCCTCTCCCCACTCCCACCCCTTCTCACTCTCTCTTTCTCTGCCGTAATGCACGAAAGCTTTCCTTTGAGATCTTGCTAATGTTGTTTCGTCAATCGCTTCGTCGCTTTTTCAAAAGTCCATTTATACTTTCGTTGCTGACATTTTTCTTTTTAAACTTTCTGAGCTAAAGACCAGCCAACGCACGTCTTCTGTGTCGTTGTGTCTGTACCAACATTTACACTCACCTAATTGTCCACCAATCGCCAATCACGCTCATGCTTTCATTTAGGTTAACAATCACGTCAGTCGTCGGCTACATTTGCGAAAGTATTTCCGTTATTAGAATACATCGAGCGACGGGAAAAATATGCGTTTTTCGCACTGACAAATTAAACGTTAATTACAATTTCCTAAAAGTGAAAGGGTTCCGCATTACTAGGTCAATGAAATTTACCGCGACTGGAATTCAGTGATCATTCATGTCTAAATATATTCAAGCGTAACAGCGCTTAGCACAACCAGTAAAATTGTATTTTTGCGCGAAGGGATCGTAGTGGTGGAAGCCATATTCGACTTGAAGATTAAATCACCGATCGCACAAACAACTCGCAAAGATAACGGTCTAATACGTACGTGCACTTGTACTAGCTGAAAAGGGTAAAGCCATCCTTTCTCTCAAAAGAGCGATCCCTTAGAAATTGAAGGCAGTTTCTTCGTCATCTGATTGGCTGAAAGATAGTCACGTGATCAGCTATTATGTGATAGTATCTGTTGCATATGCTCATGAAAAATTACTTTTTACTGCAGATTTTTATAGACAATTAAACGTTCGAAAAGTGTATCAGCATAGTTGACATGAATTTCTTATGAATCAATTGATTCATATCAGTTATACTAACCTCAAAAAAAACCGACTGATACCTCAATATAAGGAAATTAATTAAACTTTATTCTATGCGTAAATTTAGCTAAAAATACATAAATAAGGCAATAAAGGATATAAATCGATAGATTATTACGATAAAATATTGCAGTGATTTTGACTTTATTAAGTCACGTAAAATATAAGACAATTTTTTTGAAAATGCATTAATTACAATCGTGAACATTACCGAAGTATATTATTTATATCGTGAAGGATACGATTATGGAAAACTATGTGTTTAGAATTTATATTCCATTTTTTTCGTGTTTTTGAACATTTTCGATGTTTTTTAAACCCAGAACTTGGAATAATAAAAATATAAAAATTATCTTCATTGATAAGATTTAAAAATCATGAGTATATAAAACTGCATATTTATTGATCAATAAATAACATCGTCGGCTATGTATCATATCTAATCGCGGGAATATTGAATGCACATTGAATTTTCAATTTCGTCAATAAGAGTTCTGATCCAATTTCGTGTATTACAATGAATGCGAAAAAAGGCGATGAAGATAAGCGCGCTAGACGTCACTAATACGCTCAAATTAGAGAACAAAAACATCCGCAGAGAGTCACGTTGTATACAAAGCAATTAGGTTTCTAACGCGAACGTTTGTCCGAAATTGCCGCAGCGCGACTAAGCTAAAACGACTGCAGTTGGATTTGCCCTATAACAATTTATTCCTACCCTCCAGCTACGTAGTTGTCGCTTTTCAGCTCATTGCTGAACGCGAAACAGCTTTGCGCTGGCGCTCAAGGGAAAACAAAGCTTTCCAACGTAGAAAATCTTTTCCTAAAAGCAGCTTGCCTAAACAAATCAAAGGGACGGAAAATCAACGAACATCCGAGAATTTCCTGGAATAACCTCTAGAAAGCCTTAGTCGCGCAAACATTCTTAACATTACAGCGCAAGCTTGTGCGCGTCGTGAATGTCGCATGGATATCGGCAAACATAACGTTCCGTCGTCGTCGTCGTCGTCGTCGTATTATTGACATTACCAAATTAAGAGCGCACGCGCTTAGTGCATCGTTCTGGTAAACACTCGCTACTGCTGGCGGTGTACGAGTCGTCACGTCGAGGTGCGCTTTCGCAATGGACAGCAGTGCGTAGTTCGCCTTGTCGTTTCGCTCGCGAATCATATATCACGTCCAAAGGGCCTCCGTACGAGCGACGCTCGCTCGTGGTTCTTTCCTCTCGGCTAATCTCTTTCGCGAGCATCCCGATTTGTCGCTGATTATCATTTCTGTTCCTTATCGACGTAGCTTCGATTTATTAAAATTAAATATCAAAAAAAAAATCATCATAATTGTTTCCCATGAGTTCTCGCCGATAATTTTTTGTTTTCCCGATGAAAAAAAGTTGAGCTCGCCTCTTAATCATTCAGCCGTAGAAAAGTTCTCCCTCCGAATGAAAGAGAGAGAGAGAGAGCCAATATTTTTCTCTCGGGGCGTCTCAACTTTTTGCAGAGACCACCTCATGCCCTCCATCCATTTACCCCTTTCCTCACTCCATCCCTCAGACTTTCCGTCGTATATACATCGTTTTTTCTGCTATTTTGTCTCCCTTCGAGCGTTTTCCCTCTGTCATTTATTTCTCGTCGCATTCCAGGCTTGATCCTTCGCGTCTTATCCCTCCTTTTTTTACTTCGGCGACGAGTAATAGTCTTCTATATTTAAGAACGGCTTAAGGTGAAATGTTTTCGCTGAAATGTTCGGCAAAGAAAATAAATAAGTAAATAAACAAAAGAGAAGAAAAGCAAGAAAATGCTTGTTAAATTGGGGGCACGACGCTAATTCGTTATTTATTCTGTAATTCAAGCTCGATCGCTCTTCTCTCTTCAATCAAACAAACCGAGCGTGCGCGAAATTCATCTTGAGAGCGCGTGTGGCATACACAGCACGGATATGCATCCGCGCACAGACACGCATACACTCGTTCGTCGCTGGCACGGAATAATTAATTAGCTGCTTTGGCGTTTGAGCCGCAGAACCCAGCTCATTAGCAACGCGGGTGCGCTCACTTCCCCGGAAACTCGACGAAAATGAAATTTCTCCGACTGCGCGACACAGCAGCACTCAAGTTTTCCAGCCTCATTGATGAACTCCCGTGACTCGGCTTTGAAAACCGCTTTATTCAGATTTGCGCGCGGCGCTCGTTTCACTTTTTTCCCCCCTTCCGATTATTCGTCGCGAACGCACGGCGATTCCTCGGCACTCGCGAGCTATTAGTTTGTTTTCTTGCCTAATCCATCATCGGCGTTGAAAACGAAGGCCAGACCACGACTAACCTCGCTGCGCGCGAATCGTAACGAGCTAAGCTGCGGCGCCGTGGAGTAGTGCTCGAGTTTCCACTTTGGTTAATCGCCAGTCACACGGCAGTACTCGCGGTGATTAATTAATAAATTCCCGCGGGAGGGGCCAACGAGTGCTTGCACCCAAAAGAGCCGCCTAGTAAGCAGACTCTCGTCCTCATTATTTAAGCAGCGCCGAGATCTCGTTGGAACGCCGTCTTCTTCGATTAATTATTCGCTGCTTCGTCGTCGTCGTTGTTCGCACCGTCGCCACTAGCGAGACGGCAGTTTGGCACGGACAACGGGTTCGACTGCAGCACGCGTCGACGACCAGCTTTTCACTGAGAAACGCGAAGCCCGATTTGCCTCGCTGTCGTTCGCTTAGCGCTCCGCTGAAAAATCAGATTCATCGCGCGACCGCGACAGCATTCCATGAAAAATCATTTCCGCCGCGCACATTCATCGGCCCGCTCATCAAGTCAAAAAGCCAGCCAGCCTCTATCCGCACAGACACAGTCGCGCACACAAAAATCAGAGAGACAAGCAGGGTGCTGAGGTGTAATATGCGTGTGTGATGGTCAGCGGCGATGGGGAGATGCCAGAGCACGCCAGGTCTGGTGGAGTCGCGCGGTCGAATCCCACTGGAGGAGATGCTGGTGTCGACGTTGGACAAGCGCGGCACGCAATCGATCGGCGGCCGATCCTTATTCTCGCCGAGCCCGTCGCCGCGCACTGCCGCCATCACGACCACGAGCGCGGACGGCCAATATCAGCAGCACCAGCTGCAGCACCAGCAGCAACAGCAACAGCAGCAGCAGCAGCAGCAGCAGCAGCAGCAGCAGCGGCGGCAGCAGCAGAGCAGTCCGGTTAGCGCGGCGAGCAGCGTGCACAGCAGCGAGGATGCGAGAATCGGTGGCGCACAGTCGGCACCCGCTACCGTCAGGCACTCCACGCACTCCGGTGAGCTTTTTCACCTGCCCTCCTTTCGGCCCGATTCCTCGCCTGCTGCACCGTCTGCTCCTCGCTGTCCTTGGCGTTGCTCGACGCGACGCCTTCGATCGCGCGCGCAACACTTTTACCAAGACCACTTGGAAACGTTTGCCGCAAACGCGCAAATAACCCATCCCTCGCGTGCATATTTCGGCCGAGCACTGCGATTAGCTGCACGCGATATCGACGAGGCGCGTCGAGAGAGCAGCGCAACGCAGCCGTGCGATAAGCAATTGACCGGAGAGCCAAAGCGACGTACGTTCGCGGAGACGCCTCGATTATTCGGAAAATGTCAGCAGCGGTTATACTGGAGAAACTGCAACGGATAAGGTGTTGGCGACATTTGGTCGGGCCGTTAAAAGCAAGCACAGTCGTCGTATAATTAGTAGCGCGCCAGGGAGACTTTGTAATTGGCTGTGCGCGTGCTCAAGTTTGAAAAGAGAGGACCGACGACGCGACGTTCAGGGCTCGACAGAATGGATGCCTTGATTGGCAGCCGCGAATCGTCAATTAGAAACGAGGCGCGCGATCGCGATCTGGTAGAATGCCCCGGGCTTTTCAGTCGCTTCGTTTGCTCCCGAGAATGCGAATTGACGAGACAACGCCGAAAGCCAACCAGTTGGTCGACATCGCACAAAGAGCTGCCGATTGAGATGGCGCTTTAATGAAAAATGCTTGTTCCTTTTTTTCTCTCCTCGATCACAGCTCGAGTCTCGCTGATGTTCCAGTTTCCCGTAAGCAACGTAACTTTTGACAAGACGGAGCTCGCTTATGGATACTTTGAAAAGGATTACGTGTACCACGGAAAGGAATAGCCCTCCTTTTTATTAGCTATAAAAGCGCCATTTGTAAGGAAATTTTCAGCTCTTTTTTTCGAGAGACAGAGAGAGAGAGAGAGAGAGAGAGAGAGAGAGAGAGAGGGAGGAGTACTCGTAAAGCCTCTTACACTCGTAAAATGTTCACCCATCAAATGGCATTTAGTCAATGTGTGGGGCATAAAAATTACGTAATAAAAGTAAATATAGTACGTTTTTACATTATGAGGATGCTGCTGGTGCGTAACCACATTTCTCTTCGCTTCTTGGACATTTTCATGCCAAATGAGCTGCTGCGCTCGTGTCTCGCTTTAGCGAACTCGCCAGATTTCCTTATTCATTGAAACGATGAAATCTCTTAACGACACGCAGGCGCGTGCGACGCTTCTTTTCTTCTTTTGTTCGGAGGAGAAAAACGTGTTTCTGTAGAAAAAGTTGCTTTGAGCGCACTGCTTCGCTAACCCCATGACTTGTTTTGACTTTAAAATCTGTTTTGAATAGCGCCGCAAGCTCGATGCACCCGACCAAAAGAAACATGATTGATCCGCAGGAATGACGTGCAACAGTCTGACCCATCTGATGGGCGAGGGCACGACACCACTAATGGGTACTGAGCCAGTGCTGGAGGAGATCAGATGGCTGCGCGAGAGATTGACGTCGCTCGAGTCGGAGAATCTGTCGCTGAATCAGAAATTGCGGCAGAACCAGACGGAATACGAGAGGCGCTTGGCCGAGATCGAGATGCAAATCGCTCGGCCGAGCTCGGCGTCGAGCACCGAGGACAACGAACGTAACCGCGAGAGCTTCATTTAACGAGAGACTGGGCCGCGTACGGAGCGCGGCAACTCGAGGCTCGAGCGTCTTCGACGCTATCTCCAAGCCCAACAGGTACGTCCAGACGCTATCCTTCTTGCTTTCGCGTTTCTCTTTATTCTTATGTATTTGTTTTCGACGGAAGAGAAAATATACGTCAGAGGGGCGCTCGACCGCGCGAAATTTACTACCTAAAGCTCTGTGCTTTTAATTTACGTGGCTTAGGAAACGTTACAGCGCAAAAGCTCGTAAAGAAAGTTTTTTCATAGGCACGCGCTTTTTACTCGCTCGCGCTCGAAATATAAAAGCGCGCTTGACCATCAATCTCGGCAAGCGTAAACTCGGTAAAGTTATGCTCGAATGAAATGCAGGAGCACAAGGATCAACAGCTTGGTAAGAGGTTGGAGATGGCAGCAGCGAGTAGCGACACAAAGTCTATTGGTAGCTTGAGCCAACGGCTATTCGAAAGCGACGACGACGAAGACGAAGAGGACGTCGATCTGTTGATGTCGTGCGGGGCTGAACAGTCGAGGCCAGGTAGCAAGTCAAATCTCTTGCTTTGCACCGAGTGCGATCAAGCTAGTCGCACTTGTGGCGTCAGACCCCGTACACCCAGTGCCTTGGCTGGACGATACGTCGAGGAACGATTTCAACATGGCTGTGTGAGTGTTCCTTTCCGATTCTCTTCGCACTTTCGCTGGCGAACGATATTTCAATGTTTTTTTTTCTTTTTTCTCTTGACAAATTTATGCTTTGCAACATTGCATACGTTATTTTTTGACTTGCCTTAGATAGTAATCAATTTCTTTATATTGCAGATACAATTTGCTTTACAAATTATGACATAATAGTCCGTCAAATTCATTCTCTTACAAAGACTATCCATAAATACGGGAATTAAGAATGCAAGCATTGTAACTTAAGAGCCTAAATAAAATAAGCCCCATTTTGTTACACAAACAGTACGACACACAAAAGCAAAGAGAAAAAATTGCAATATTTCATTTTCGATCGTAGAGTAAAAAAAGAGTAGTAAATTCACTTGGATTTAAAGCTTAGTTAGCCGCAGCGCTACTTTGCGCGCGGCAATCCACTGATCAAAGAGTTTTTGCGTTCGGTCGGTCCGAGAAAGGGAGGCCGTAACTTGGGATTTGAATGCGTCAAACTGAAAATAAAATTCCATTAGTACGACGAGCAGCCGGAGAGGAGAGGAAACGAGATGCAGAATTTCGCGCCGGATCGAAAGGCTTTGTCAAAAGTTCGCGGAACAAGTACGAAAAGTTTTGAAACCTAACTGTATGCATCAACTATGTTCACTCTTCACCTTCTCCCCCCTGCCTTCCCCCACTGCCCCGCTGTGTTGAGTTAATTCTCTATCTCTATATTGCCTTGGTCCTTCACACCGACACACGACTTTCACTCACCCAAAGAAACGCATACTTGCATTGAGTCGTTCCGACTTCCGACTTTTGATCGCTCTCCGCGACGTACAAATGTGTACATAACACCAAGGTCAATGTTTGATTAGCCGAGAAGGCTAGGCGTAGACTGCACAATGCTGTACATATGTTGTTGTTGCTGTAAGATACAAGGCCATGTAATATACACGAAGTCAGTGTCTGCCTGCATTTTGGCGAATATCTTGCACTGTACCGCTACTCGAGCGAGTTGGTTTTAAAAGGGATAAATGTGATTTGCAGCAGCGCTCGGGAGCGAAAGAGAGCGGCGAAACTGACGGGTGTTTGTTTGCTTTTGGCCATGGCAGGATCGTCGAGGGACGCTCGAGCGCGAGTCCTCGGAGGATTCTCAAGTGTACGCGGGGTGCGAGGCGAAGCGGCAGTGCCGGACGAGATCGGCACGCTGCCCTCACTGCGCGAGCAGCGATCTGTCGGACGATCCGACAGCTGCGCCAGCGCCGCCGGTGGCTCCGCCCGACCTGATATGCTTCAGCTGTCAGTGCAGCAGCGCAGGCAGCGCCAACGGCGCCGCCTACAGCTGCTGCTGCGAGCAGCCAGCGAGTGCGCCGACGACCTCGACAGACGAGGAGAGCGCGACGCCCCGGACGACCAGCAAGATACGCATCCGGCTGAACAGTCGGTCCATCGACCAGGAGGACTCCACGGACGAGAGCACGCCGCCCGGGAGGCTCGCGACGATCGCCGAGGCCAAGGGGGACGCTACTACCACGACCAGTGAGAACGACGACGATCCGCCCAAAATACTCAACGGCTCCAGTGCCACCTCCAAATTCCTCAATTACATGATCGTACTCGTTGTGTAAATAATCGACTCGCTTACACGGCGTCCTGTACATAATTTCGCGGAGGCGAACGCGCGCTCGTTCGTCGCTGCCCACTTCGAGTGTAAATAACGCAAACTGCCAGACGTCACGGACGTTCGGATCGTCTTCGGACGGACGAACGGACAGCGGGTCCCGCGTGTCGTATAACGTGCGCTGCCATTTTCAAAACGATAGCCGACGAACGAACTTTCTATTTCGGGACCAACGGGCTGCTGATAAGTCGTCAACGAGCGACGCTAACCGACTAACACGCGTACTCTTCGCTTGACAACCACGCTTCGATACCGATCAACGATCGCCGCTACCGCAGACTACCCAATTTCTTTTTTCTTTTTTTCTTTTTTACATTAGGAAATTACATTAGAAAACACTTTTCCTTTCCTTCGTACGACCACTGTTTGCGCGTGTACAATGCTCGATCGCAATTGACGCTTCAACGTCGCGTCTTTTCATCCCGATCGCTCGTGCATTTCCGCTCCAATGTAAATTATCGCCAGTCTCTCCTTCTACTTTATGCCGTTCAAACTTTGCGCGATATCGCGACTCGTTTTCCGAAACCTCTCGAATGCGAGGCGCGACCTTTCGAAAACATCGTGAACTGACCGCGATTTACATCGAAAAAGACGACATGGTAAATCAATTTGCCACTTCTTTTTTCTAAATATCGAGAACAACACGAACGCTATGTATATAACGACGATGTACACGATTGAATGTCTTTTTCAAAATTTGTAAAAGTTTTAATAACGAACAATGAAGGTCGACGTAATATTAGACAAGTAAATAGACACGCCAAGCATCTTAATATCGATAAGTAGAGCAAAAAAAGAAAAAAAAAGAAAACAAAAAAAAGAAATTTTGACCGATAAGCCAAAGGTGCCGAACAAGTATGGAATTCGACTGCCACCTTAATTTAGTATGCAACAGCGGAGCGGCAAAGTTCCGTAGCTAGAATTTATACCATATAGCTAGAACAGAAAGACAATTAAATTAAGATAGAATATTAGTTGGACCGATCTGTGGTTTTTAGGTATTAAAGAAAAGCCAAAGAAAAATAAATATACAGTGCGATATATTGACTATGTATTTTACACGTTTAGAATTTCTTATCAAGTATAACAAGAGCACGCAAAGCGAAAACAGGCCACATCGTGGAATTCCCTGTAGATAACTGAAAGACAAAGCTAAAATTCGAAAAGATAAAAAACCTTAATAATAGCGTCGTAAGCGAATATAAACGATAAACAATAATTAAAAGGAAAGATTATAAAAACCAATAATAAAGAAAAACACGGTCAATCCGTTTGACAGACTGCTTAATATATACTTTTGTAATTCACATCTTAGTCGCGCGTGCGTTTCTATAAATAAAGAAAAATATGAGAATTAATATTAAAGTCACATATACATACATTCGTCATCTTGATAAAGCAATTGACCCTTTAGTCGAATAGAATCGAAAAGAAATGAAACAATCAGATGGTCGTGAAAGAAATAGCGTTTTTCTTTTTGCCGAGAGCTAGAAAGACACTAGAAAGACACTAGAAAGACACTAGAAAGACACTAAAAAGACACTAGGGTGGAGGAAAGGAGAAACGAGGGTGTAAGCGTAAGCAACGTTGAGCGACGAAGGGAGGACGCGTAGATCCGCGATTGCGCCTGATTAATTGACGCGCGCTCAGTGTATATGCCAGTGTCCACTTGACTATACTTCACGAGGGAGAGTCGAATGACACGGCGTGCACGCCTATCGCAATTAATTGATTAATTGGCGCGCACTGTCGCTCGCCGCGTCGTCGCAAACGGTTCGAAGCGAGCGCTGCCAATAGTTATCGCGATGCGGACGTCTGGATTCGATGGGAAGGAGGTTAGCGCGCGAGCGAGACCGATTCAGTTGCCAAAAATACAGCTCGCTTTGTCGCGCGCGAGCTGCCGTTATAAATATAGCTCTCTTTGACGTTTAGTTGAGCGTTAATCGGTTAATTTTTCTCACGCTCAAGCGAGAATCGCTCTAATTACCTTGACAATTAGCGAAGCGTAGAATACCGGTCGATAGACGTCATTAAATTAAGCCGAAACTTCTTCAATTAGCATGGAAACTGAAAAAGGATTTGAGCCGAGGCTAATTGGAATTTCTCCTCGCAGTTGTTCTCGAGGCGAATAAAAATGCGAAAGCTGGCAAAAGTCTAGTTCTTGGATACGAGGTGCGCTGACAATTGAGGAATTCAATTATTAACTAATGTAGCTTCATCATTCGTCATCGTATTACAAGTTGCAATCACTTATCGCTATTGATTTTATTCAAAGATTTATTGACGTTACGAAAGTATTGATGTATGTGAGATTCTTGAATATTTATTGATTATGAAAAGACGTGACCGCGAAAGTAAGGCTGTATATAGGTATATATGTAACGGTTGCGTCACATTATTTCGAGTTATTTGTTTCACCAGTTGTGGCTGTAGGCATTGACACGACAGTGCCAAAAATGTATTATGGGTTATGCTATTGATCTTTGCCAATTGATAAGATTGTAAGACCGACCGCGGCCACATTTATTTGTTAACGATGGTTTAATTTGTCTACCACAAACTTATAAGGACTATTTGTTAAAGTTGAACAAGGAGGGTGCTGAAACATAAGAAAAACGTTAAATATCACGGAATGTAAGAAAACGAGGCAGAGCAGGCTGTTGCACTATATATACATTTCATATCAAGTCATAAGTAGTGTTGTAATGTTTTAACTCGTAAAAGCTCTATGCATTTCTTATATAATACAGATTTTATCAATTTTATCGAGTATGATACGCAATAGGTTTTACTCTTGCCATTATTCTCTTCTCTAATCCAATCTATTCCTATATATTCTAGATAAAAGTCGATGAATCGAAGAAAACTGATACGAGAATCATTCGAGTGCGTAAGAGGATATTCAGCTTGATATACGATCGATACTCTCTATACACATATATTTCCTCAGTTTTGTTATTTAAGAATATTTTTTGCATAAGTTAGCTTTGACCACGATCGGCATGAGCAAGTTAAGAAGCAAATTCTTGCTGGCGTATGAATATTCGACGCGTTGATAGACAAATAAAACAAATAATAAAACAGGCATAGGTACAAGAATAATAACGATATTAAACTGAGAATAAAGAGGCTACAGGCTCACTCACGAATAAACTGAAAGGATAAAGAGATTTGCGATATTAATTATAAAAGATAAAACAATTAAACGAAACAATTTTTTGTAAATACGTACGATTATAAATAGATAATTAGGCGTAAGAAATAGGAGGAAAAGGTGACATATAAATAATTACATTTACATAGGACGTGCACGATCGAAAGTGCAGTTGAATGCATGCGACTGAAATGACAGAGAGAATAAAAATAAGAAACGACGTGTTTCGATGCGCGAACGAGGATCAACACTTTATATACGAAAAAGACAAACACATCGTCGTGTGCGTGACCAATTGTATTTATACGCGGATAAATTTTCGACCCAAATTTCAATCCAAACAGTGAAAAGCAAACAACGAGCCCACGAATGTGCGTCAAGTGTGCGTGAGCGAATGTTGTGTAATCCCAATCGAAGCGCATTCAACACTTTCCCCGCATTATAAATATATCACACTAAACACCCACACACGAGCACTTCATTTGCGAAAAATGATAGACATTATAATAATTATACATTGTGTACACGCGCCTTTGAGGCTGAATCAGGAATACAAGTTTCGATTCAAATATACAGGTGAGAAATGAGCCAAGCGAGAGATGATATTTTATTCCTGTAGCCGTATCACCAATTTTCGTTTTGTCATATAGCCCGACTGTCGTATGCCTGTATGACATCTTTTTGTCAACTTTCCATAGGTGTTTTCAACATCCATAGTCGTTATTTTTTAAACTTACAAAAGGATTTCAGCCGTTATACATACGTATAAATATATACATAAAATGAAACGAAAGAAATGAAGAATTATGAGGATGTCCAGTTAACATACGTTCTCTCTCACTTACATGTGCGCGACTGTCCTTGTACGATCGAGTGTTTCGCCATTAAAGACGAAATTTTAAAAAACACCTGGCAAATATAAATAGAAACGATTTCAATCCAACGATCATCTTGTTTTATTTCCTTATCACACGTCTAAGCTATTTATATTTATATGCATTGCAATATCATTTTATTTCTATTTTCAATTATACCAACCTTTGTCATACTTCGCTTTCATATTTTTATTATTTACTTGAATAATTCGATGGATTATTAAACTATCACTATGAAATATTTTCCGTTAAATAAGTTCATTTTCAATTTTACCTCTAAACCAGATCGAAGCGTCCTCTGTCCCGTGTAAGACGCCCTAATCAGTCACGCTTGGAGGCGGTAGTAAGTAATATCATGCTTGCCTCTACCGACAGCTCGTAAATGTAAAATGTGCAAGATCGACTACTGGAACTTAAATAATTAATTTACACGTGTTCTCACATTTAAATAATCTGCCTAAATAATTATAATATAACGATATCATGTTCGTCATCTGTTACAACCGTTTTTGTTTTTTACTTTATTTTTAGTGATGATTTTCCATTGTCCAACAAAAGATCAAAATGATCAACGAAAATATATTACATTTTTGACAGTTTTTTTTTTATAACATTTTTACGTTGATTAAATAAAAAAGCAACAGAAATACAATAATTAAGCAATTTTTAGTTTGAGAAATTTGTCAGAAAGTATCATCGGTAGTATTAAATTGCAATACACAAGCAATTACTGTTGCAGTTTATTCGAACGAAGAGTGACAAGTAATGGTAAACCTACGTGATTAGTATCGATCGAACATAGCTATACGTCAATTGTGACAGTAGCCCTTTGTGAAATGATTAATATTTCTTATTATTTCATAGAATTGATATACCATTTGAAAACAATTAAAAATTAATCCATACGTAATTCGAAAAATAAAGAAAATCAAATGTTAATTGTCGCAACATTATCGATGCTCAATGATGAATTACACGTTTCTTCGCAAACTTGATTCAATCTTCGACTTGCAAAGTATAACGCAACAACGATAACTCAATGACAAACGAGATTATTGAGTTGTGTTTATCTAAATACGTGACTCCATGAAAACCTGAATTTGTTGCCAAAGCTTGCGGTGTCTTATTTACAGAAAAAGTTCTCAATTTCATTCAAGAATCCTCAAGCATTCCAGTTCCATGCACAAAGTAAATAAAATAAGGCATTCTGAAAATCTTATCAGTTAAGAAAGGTTCAAGTTATACTGTATAGTCGCAGACAGCTTTTGTACAAGTACAATGTACACGCATGCAGAGAGTAAAAGAGGTAAAAGAGGGTATATGCAACAAGTGCAAACCGCACACAGATAGGTAGATTCCTCGCCCGAAGTGACACGCACGAGGTAAGTAGTGCTTTGGTCTCTTGCACATGGGAAAACTGTAATGTGTGTGACGTAGGCGGAAAACTCAGCGCTACAGCCGGCGACAGCTCAGGTATAATACGGAATTTCAGAGTACTCTTGTGCATTATATATGTCTTTATTAACTTATTTCGAAGTACGCCGTTCCTTCAAGCGCATCTAGCGCAATATTTTCTTTTCCGAGTATTAAAAGCGAGATAACGTGAATCGGGCACGCAGGCTGTAATTGCTTACATGGCTATTATACGCATGGTACTGCAATTGAATATTCAGTTGAAAGCGCGATCCGCGAGGTTTTGTAGGCCGATGACATTTTTATGCACGCGATGTGCCAAAGAGTTGCGATGCATTTCCGCGCGACCAGGAGTGTGAAACAGGATCGTAGCCAGAACCGTTAGCACCCATAGACAAAGACCAATGCAACAGTATCTTCTTTCTGCCGAGCGCTGCACCTTTCACTCCGATTTTTTCAAGGGATGAAAGCAACGGACGATTCTTCGGTTTATTTTGACGCTGCCAAAGGTCGATTTTCCGTTGGATTATCTATTCTCAAGAGTTCAACGAAGGATTTCGAACAAATACTAAGTTATAAGATTTTGCTTCTTGGGTTGCCTGGATTTTAGCGAATCAACGTTTAACTTGATTAGCGACTATGTTATACATACACGTACATATTTTACATGAGTAGACAACAGATCCTACTTATGTCACAGCCGATCCCCTGCAAATGAGATTTTAGCTGTCGGACACGTGTGGCTGAAAGCACTGTCGGTTCTTCTACGAGTCACACTAACTGGCTTACCTCTAAATTTTGTTTGCGACCGTTTACTATGAATCGTCAATACGAGTATTACCAACAATATTGTGACTAATTTTGCTTAGAAAACATACGCTCATCAAGCTTTAACAATAATTCACATTTTTGTCAGTCGAGCAGTTCAATAGAATAAACGCGTGTGTTGTACGTTAATGATGACAATCAGTTCATAATAATTTTTTCACAAACATTGTTTTGCCAATCCTATTATTTGCCAAATCTTGAAAATTGATTCTGAACAAGATCAAGAATTTAGGCATGGCATCGTTTTTATTGCATATTAAACGAATTCTGTAACCGCCAGTTTATCAACTCGATAAAGGTTATTATAGAAAGAATGATAATTCACTTTATTTGCCGAGTGATCGATAAATATATATTGTCAAATCAGCTGAAAAATAACATTTTTATTTTCGACAAAACTGTACACGTGTGATAAAACATTTCGTTTAATTTTGAATTTATTCGCGCGACAGCGAAGTATTTTTCTCCATTAGAGTTTACAAGTGTAGAGGGAGAGAGAACAAAAGACAATGGAAATTGAAAAAACAAATTCCAGCGTGAAAGGCATCTGCTTGAAGGGTCAAGAGAAGGGACGTTAATGAGCTATATTGGAATGAGAAGGAAATTTCATCATTCCTTTTCCTCCTATATCTCAACTATAAAATGTCATCCTGTAATTTTCTTCCACGTTCATTGCCCTTCGACCTATCTTTATGGCAATACTTTGATGGCCCACATACGACTGTCACAAAGATTCTACAAACTACAAATATACCGTAAGCCATTTTGCAATCTTCCACTGTAAAAATTACATTAATTTGAAGCAGCAAGATATGGCTGTTGAAAAAGTTCTCCTCCACGAGACAATTGGCCTCTAGATCTCAATCAAAAAGACAGCAGCAGCAGTCGGCAAGCCCCTCAAGAGACAGAGAAATCTCACGGAGCCATATATGCAATATATATATGCACATACAATCAAACAGCCGCGCACCGGGAGTCAGTCTTCTCTCTTTCTTTCTTTCTCGGGCATACACACCGATGTAGCATTCTCTGTACACACAGCTTCCTTCGCCTTTATAGTACTTTCAGAGCGCTCTCTACCCACAAGCGCACGAAATTCCATACCAGCGCACGATGTGGTCGATCCTCGTGCCATCTCTCGCCTTCCCACAGAATCCTTGCGAGTATTACGAATAATAGCAATTTCTTGTTAAACTACGTTTCATTTTACTAATACCTCATAATCGACTTTTCAAATGGAATATTGACGATTTTTTAAGATAGACACTTTTAGCAACACTACCGGTAAAAAACGAGAAAAATTGAATATGACGATGAAGCTATGGCGCAAGTGTCGCCGGTGACCGGTCGCTCCCCTCCGTTGTGCGCATGTTCGCTCTGCTCACGAGAACGGTCTCTTTCTGTCGTAGCATCTGGAGGTGAGTGGTCGTCAGTCTGTGCGCGTGCTCTTTTTTTTCTCTTTCTCTCTATTTCAAGCCTCTACGTCGAGAACGTAACCCGACTTGCCGTCGTAATCTTTGTACTAAGTAGCTGTAAGTTGACATCCGCGATTTTTAGTGCTAAATAATTATTCTGTTGTCCAAGATTATTCGGAGTGTAATGATATTTTTTTTTCTTTTTACCCGTTTTTCGTCCAGAAATTTTCCTTGGGTCATGCTCTTGGGTGCCGCCTACCGCCTTGATACTCGTGTGAATATTGTACGGATCGGTGCAGACTTTTCTATTCAAGTGTTCATTGAACAGAGAACGTTTAAAAGTGCGTTTTTTTGCAAGATTTTTTAAGTGCCGCTGGGTTTTTTTTTACTGTTTGTTAATTGGGTGTGCTAATTACAAATGAGTGTTCGGGAAGCGAGCGAGAGAGAGAGAAAGAAAGAAAGAAAGAAAGAAAGAAAGAAAGAAAGAAAGAAAGAAAGAAAGAAAGAAAGAAAGAAAGAAAGAATAAGAATAAGAATAAGAATAAGTGGATCACTTCGTAAAAGCTGATGGTGTGTGTTGTGTGTGTGCCCTCGCTGATGTAACGGAAAATGTATCCGACTCGAAGAAATTGAAAGACCGGAAGCAAATCGTAATGGCGAGACTCGCGTAATTTTCGCGTGCAGTGTGTCAAGTCAATTGTATGTCAACGCATGGCTCGAGAACACTTTTACATATTTGCCGTTTTCTTCTATCTATATTTCTTTGATTCGTCGCCGGGCATTGTTCGAGGACAATCTTTTGTAGCAGATGTTCGAAAGAAAAAAAACGTGGCAACGAGATGACGCTCGTCCAAAGAACTTCTCTCCGGCAACCGCTGCCTCGCTCTCTCGGGCAACGTACAAAATGGCGGCTTCGCCGCTACCGTTTCGAGAATATTCACCGCTAATAAACCGCCACGTGGATTTTTGTTTCATTGTGAAACTTTGATTGATCTACAAGCTAGCTTCAAATTTTGCAACAGAATAAGAGGCTTTTTTTTTTTGTTTATTGAAGTAGTAGTTTTGAACAATATTGAAACTACTTCACTTGTGCAATTATTATAAATAAGGTTATGATTTGTACTTTAGAGTAAACTTCAACATAATCTTATTTTTAATAAATTAATTTGCAAATGCTGAAACATTTTAATCGTTTGTTTGAATATTTAATAATAATTCTTGAAAGAAATACCTCAGTATAAGTAGAATAATTAACATTTATTTTAACGTAATAAATTAATAAAAAGCATTTGTCTTTTCAGTTTTAACTAGACAAATACAAACAGGCATCCACAATGGGTAAAGAGAAAATTCATATTAACATTGTCGTTATTGGACACGTCGACTCTGGCAAGTCCACCACCACTGGTCATTTGATCTACAAATGCGGTGGTATCGATAAGCGTACCATCGAGAAGTTCGAGAAGGAAGCCCAGGAGGTACCATCTCATTTCATTTGTTTGACAATTTGTGTGAATGGTTGATTATATTCAACTATAATAATTGCGTTATGATCCAAAAATTAGTATTTCTCTAACGTACTTTGTTTCATTAAAGGCTAAACTTGTCATTTTATCAATTATTTATAAAATTATGAATGAAACTTATGGTACTTTATACAATTACAGATGGGCAAAGGTTCCTTCAAATATGCTTGGGTTCTGGACAAACTGAAGGCTGAACGTGAGCGTGGTATCACCATTGATATTGCTTTGTGGAAGTTCGAAACAGCCAAGTATTACGTCACCATCATCGACGCCCCTGGACACAGAGATTTCATCAAGAACATGATCACTGGTACGTCGCAGGCTGACTGTGCCGTGTTGATTGTCGCTGCAGGTACTGGTGAATTCGAAGCTGGTATCTCGAAGAACGGTCAGACTCGTGAGCATGCTCTGCTTGCCTTCACCCTTGGTGTAAAGCAACTGATCGTTGGTGTCAACAAGATGGACTCTACTGACCCACCATACTCTGAGGCTCGTTTCGAGGAAATCAAAAAGGAAGTATCCTCGTACATCAAGAAGATCGGTTACAACCCAACTGCTGTTGCCTTTGTTCCAATCTCTGGATGGCATGGAGACAACATGCTTGAGCCATCTTCTAAGATGCCATGGTTCAAAGGATGGGCTATTGAGCGCAAAGAAGGCAAAGCTGATGGCAAGTGCCTTATCGAAGCTCTTGATGCCATCCTTCCACCCAGCAGACCCACCGACAAGGCCCTCCGTCTTCCCCTTCAGGTAAATCCTATTACTTTTACATTACTTTAAAATTACTTTGAAATATGATGAGAACCTTAAAACTTCATTCGCGGTTTCCACCAGAGTATTTTAGTCAATGATGGCTGAAGGTGTCTGACTTGTCAATTACAACAATAATTTTCGTCATTTTTTTTTTATGTATCAAACTGATTTCAATAATTCTCTTGTAGGATGTGTACAAGATTGGTGGTATCGGAACGGTACCCGTCGGTCGTGTCGAAACTGGTGTATTGAAGCCTGGTATGGTTGTCACCTTTGCTCCAGTTGGTTTGACCACTGAAGTCAAGTCCGTCGAAATGCACCACGAAGCTCTCCAAGAGGCTGTTCCCGGAGACAACGTTGGTTTTAACGTTAAGAACGTCTCCGTTAAGGACTTGCGTCGTGGTTATGTGGCAGGAGACTCTAAGAACAATCCACCCAAGGGTGCAGCTGACTTCACTGCACAGGTAACATTCTAAATTGAATTTCTTTATACTAACCAATTGCACAATTTTTAATTTTTATTCATTTTCTACAACATTTTAAATATGATGAGAGTCTTAAAACTTCATTCGCGGTTTCCACCGGAGAATGTGTTCAGTGATGGCCGAAGACGTCTGACCTACACAACTAAATAAAATAATTGTATGTAACACTTTAGCAATGACTAATGAAAAACAATTGATGGTTTAGGTCATCGTGCTTAACCACCCTGGTCAAATCAGCAACGGTTACACGCCTGTACTCGATTGTCACACGGCTCACATCGCCTGCAAATTCGCCGAGATCAAGGAAAAATGTGACCGTCGTACCGGTAAAACCACCGAGGAAAACCCTAAAGCTATCAAGTCCGGTGACGCCGCCATCGTCAACTTGGTGCCAAGCAAGCCCATGTGCGTAGAGTCCTTCCAGGAGTTCCCACCCTTGGGACGTTTCGCCGTGCGTGACATGCGTCAAACTGTCGCCGTCGGTGTCATCAAGTCTGTCAACTTCAAGGACGTATCCGGCAAGGTCACCAAGGCTGCTGAGAAGGCCTCGAAAAAGAAGTCGTCTTAGTTTACGCACAATCGAACTGCCGGGCGTCTTCGTCAATCTGCTGTCCCGGGGTCCAGCAGCAGCGTCGTTGCAAGCAGCACTTACGTCACAAACACCACCACAACCCTTGCGCCGCCCCGACACTATTACATCTTTCAGCCGCACGGCTGCTGACAGGCTTAAACATCCAAGACGACCTCGTCGACGCTTCTTTCATCGCAAAGAGTTCCGCAGGAAAAGGGGATTCGCCAGCCTCGCCGATCGTATTTTTTTTTTTTTTTTTTTTTGTATCAATAATATTGTAACCTTTTTTGATTAATTGATAAAGTCGACGGCAGCGACATAGGGAACGTTTGGATGGATGGAAGGATTACGTGCTGTTAGCTGCGCGCTGTTTTACACCAACTGCTAAAACAATTTGTGTACATCTGTTTCACAAAAGAAAAATAAATAAAACAAGAATGGAAGGGAAGAAACAACAACAAAATAACAACAATTTAGCTCAGTTTAATTATATTTTCTAATTATTATACAAAAATAATAAATCCTACATCTGCGATACTCGAGAAATATCTCTTTTTTTTTTTTAATTATTCATCATTATCTTTTACTTAATGTCTCCGTCAATTTTCGCACAAAAAAAATCTTAACTATTGAATGGCCAAGAATTATGTCAATTGAGTAATCAATGCATTTTTCCTTTTGGATCTTCCATGACTTTAAATTCCTCAACTTATTTACTGACTGTATAATGCATGAAGATTAATTTTTATAAAATATTGCTTTTTAATGACGACTACATGAATAATAAAAACAAAAGTTGCAAAAAAAAAGAAAAAAACAAAATATATATAGATTAAACCAAATATGCGCCGATTGATATCGGATAATAAACGAGTTTTTTTCTAATTTACTTTTCTTGGATCATTCTTAATACGGAGAGAGTATGACTGCTAAACAAAACAAAAGTTAACTAATTTTTCTAATAACAAATAATTAATAATGACTGTTTTTTACCTTCCAACTCTAAAGTCTAATAAACAAGAAAAAACAAAGAATTTTAACAGTATCCATACAGTTATTACTCAAATTACTGTTTCAATATTATATTTAATAATTCTGGTTTGTAACAGTTCTTTGTACATACATAAATAAATGGTAATGATTGAGCGTGAATAAAGAAACTGGAAATAATATAGTAGTTTTATTCTTAATTTTGATTTGCACCTTGCATTATTTTTGGACAGTTCAAACTTTTCATTTAAAACCTGTTGATTATCATGTTGGTTTTCATTAATTTATATTTATTATAATTATAATAACATTGATAAGTAATAATTTTCAAATTTATTTCCTATCAGGTGTTTTGATTCTCGACTGTGGCGGTCTCTACTATATTAGAAATATGTCGTCTTTAATTTCAACGTCAGTTTTATCAAAAATAATTTATACAGGGCCAACAATAATACCAACTTGTGGAGTAAGTGTTAATAAAATACATAATTAGACAATATTCCTATACATCAACAAAGAAATAACATTTGTTTTTTTAAAATACATATTGATACAATACAGTTCTATACAGGTTATGTAATTCTAATTTTCAAGTAACAAATAAATTTGAAAAGACTTATTGATAATCATAAAAAATAAAATACATTTATTTGTCAATTTGATGCTCTACATAAACATAATCATATTTTTAAACTTTTGAATGTACTTCATATAAATAGATAAAAACTATATTTTATTTCTAAGCCTGTTTTATTGTTTAGTTTCAACAAGTAAGAAATAAATGGACTCAATGGAAGACTCTCAGAGATATGAAAAGAAGAAAACTAGCTAAAGACTATGCTGAAGAAAGACTGCGATTAGTTTCTATGAAGAGGAATGATATTCTTCCTGTAGAAATAAGAGTTAGTTTATTTATTGTTTATAACAAATTTGATTTATTTATAAACAAATCAGTGTTCCTTCAAATTTAACATAATAGTTATGTTATACTTGTAATTGAATTACAGGATTTGGCCAGTAAAGGATTTGATAATATTCCTCGTCAATCTGCTCTAAGACAATTAAGAATGCGTTGTGTAGTTACATCAAGAGGTCATGGTACTGTTATAAGATGGAGAGTTTCTAGATTAATATTCCGTCATTTGGCTGATTACAATAAATTGGCTGGTATCCAGAGAGCGATTTGGTAGTTTATATGAATTTTTAAAAAATGAACGTTACAATATGAAATATTAAAACAAGTGTACATTAATTCTTACAAAAATTAAAATATTCATTATTTATTCATCTGTCTGTTATATTAAAAAGTTTACATACTCTTATAATAATTTAGAAATTTTATATTAGACATATTCTCAAAGAATATTTCAAGAGACTAAATTTTGATTTAAATGAATCTGTGATTTTTGTTTTGTTTAGCCAAATAAATGAATAAAAAAATCTTCGAAAATTGAAAAAATTCTACTTTTAGTATCAGTAGTTGATTATGTCATTTTATGGTTAAAACTCAAAACACGCAATTAAAATAAGATTTTGTGTAAGAAATAATTGAATATTTTAAAACAAGAATCTAACAAGGCTCAACAATTTCAATAAACTCGTAGAACATCCAATTAATATTTTTACTAATAAATCAATAAAAATAAGAATTAGAGTCTTATAATATAATTACCGATAGCAAACTATTTCGAGATCGAACGAGTGGTTAAACAAGGAAAAAGCTCAGCGATATACATATATATCACAGTCGTGGACACTTGAAAAGCATAAAAGCAACATATCAACATATACAGTAAGAAGAGTGCATCAATGTGCAGCAAAGAGACTCGTTATTGTGATGCGGCTTCGTTTTTACTGGTGTAAACAAGTAGTGCGGCTATACGTGCAGTCATGCGCTGCGCACCACTACAGGAGTAAGAAAAGGCGCGATAAGCGACAGACTCGTAGTATCCGTTTTTACAGGCTGTCGACTGGTCGCGCAAATCTCCGAACGACTAGTCTGGTGCTTTTTTGCGATGAAATTCCTCGCCGTTCGCAAACTGGATTGCAGAAAATTACATTACGAAAAGGGTCGGGGATAGCACAACACATTCACATGCATTACGAAGCTAAATTGGATGATGTTTGCAAGCTGCAAAAAATAACTATTTGTGATGAGGTACGCAAGCACTTGTGCCTTTGGAACGAATTTGGACGTCTTGTCTTTCACTCGCGAAAAAATTGCTTTGAGATGTTGAGTGAATTAAAGTGCGGAAGCTGCAATCAAAATTGCGTAGTTTTATTTTAGTGCACGACTCAAACACGTTTCACTCCATATTTCAATAATGGCGTGAGGTAATAACGCAACGACCGAACTACAGTAATCTAAAAAAACAGCGTGGTAAAAATATTCGTGAAAGAAATGATCACTTGGTTAGTAAAAAAATGAATGATTTAAGTTTTCTAATTGAGCTGATAAGTTGCATTCACTTTTTTGGAATTTTCACGAATAACTTGGAAACAAACGCTATTTTTATAAAGAATACGCCCAGATAGATCTGACGTCAATTAGCTGTTGAAAGAAAAACACTAATTTCCTACGTATAAGTTAAACATCGAATGCGGGATGACCACTATTCGTTTAACGTTATGATATGAAAAATGAGCTGACAGTAAACAACTAATTACCGCTGTCTACACAGTTGCGCGAAACTTTATCACATTATTTCATGTATTAATTAACGAGGTCGTGACATGCATATTATCATCCCGAGATGATTAATTAAGAAAAGTGCCAATGTCGCTTCCGCAAGTAAGAGACAGGAAAAAAGCTTTCTTAGAAATTAATTTTACTACGTGCTTTAAAATCGTAGGTAATGCCGGTGGACGCCAAATACAAGCATAACCGAAATGTTCCTAAAAGGCATCTTGGTAGTAAGATGCTTTCGATATTTGGCAGCTCGACGAATGGCAATTCGCGAATTTTCAAGTCACAAGCCCAGCTGTCGAAAATTAATGTCGTCAAACCACGTCCCACGCAGAATGCAGGTCGATTTTCTCCCAATGACAACGTAAGTACTTACATTGACATTTTTCGTCTGCCTCGTGAGTTTGACATTGAGCCTTTTTTTTCAGGATCCCGAATGTTTTCATCGCGCCATCAGTAAAATCCTGATGATAGCTCAATTTTTCGGGATTTTACCAGTCACCGGCATACGTGCGAGTTCAGCGAGGAGATTCGTTTTCAAACCATTATCTCCTCGTGTCATTTACTGCTACGTTATACTGATGGCAATTATCGTGATGACGTCTATATCCGTGTTACATCTACTGAAGACACTTAATGCTAATAGCTTCTCGACCAATGGCGAGTATCAGATTTCTCTGTTTACTGTTTGTTATAATTTTCTGTCAATCGGAAAGGTAAAAGTAAGGTTTAATTGAGATGCGTCATCGCGAGGAGATCGATTGGAGAAAAGTTTCACGACTCTATCGATTAGCAAGCAAAATTGCATTTCAGGAATTTATAGCATCTTTTAGATAGCACTAGTATTGAAAACTATATTGACATCGTGAGCAAAAGTTAAAAAAATTACCAATAAAGTTGCCAACGCGTTACGAAAAGTGGCATGTTAATAAAAGAAATTACGTAGGCGTGCAGTACTTTTAGAATGTATAAGTTCTAGCCACATACGTCGTAAAATATTTACCTCTTTCAATACTGCTCGAGCGTTTAATTGTCCGCTAATATAATTTCACAAGTCCCGTCGACAGAAAAGATAAGATGTGTTTGCGTTCTAAAGGGCGCGAACGATTTGGCTTTCAATTTCTAGCTCTCTAATTGAAATCGCGATGCTTTCCAAGTTCTCGCGCGAGTTTACTTAAAGTGTCTTTGCGTAATGATGTTCATCTTCGCTCCTCTCGATTAGCGCGCGCAAGCTCACCTTGCGCGTGGGTAGCTCGCTCAGTGGTTGGCGAGGTACACAGTCGCTTTCAGCATTACAAACGAAATTTCAGCTATTTCTGCGAATTACAAGTATAACAGAGAGAGCCAAAGGCAACAATGCCGCATTCACGGTTGTTTTAATGAATTGCATCTGTCGGTCGTACGGAAATAGCAGCCCTACTTACGATATAGTCGTTCAATCGAAATAAGAAGCGACTAATTTTATTGCTCGTTTGTTTGGACAATCGGCTCTATGTTAATTACGAACATCGTTTCATTAAAAGGAAATGCCATAGGGAATTTTGAGCAACAAAAAACAAGTGTCTTAATTGAATTTTCAAGAATAGCGATTTTCGGTAAAAACATAAAAAATGATATAGATTTCAAATACAACATTGGTCTTTTTATTAAATTTCAGGAGGAATAGCAGATGCTACTGCGGGAGCAATTTTTTACGGTAATAGTCTATTTGGCAACATCATGTTTTTACGACTTTGCCCGCGATGGATTTCAATTCAGTACGACTGGAGAGCCATGGAACGACTTCTTGACAAGTAAAATGTGCTCTTTTTTCTCTCCTATATTCTACTAATGTTTTTTTATTTTATTAAATGACCCAGCTATATATCTCTAGATGTAATTGAATTTATAGCTTTTTCAACGTAAAGGATTTTTTTTGACGGAGGATGATATTTCTGACTAGTAAAATTTGAATACACATTCGTCATTACACAGTAGATTTGACAGTAGCGATAAAGCGATCTGAAATCATTGTTAACGAGATAATCCTATTTTATATCACATTTTTCATCACTGCGGATATATTTTATTAAATCTTCAACATAAGCAGCTCAATGCTGAAAAGCAATAATACGTCGAATAGCTCCGAATCGTTCTAAAAGTAATGTAGTTCATCAAAAAGTTTTCAAAGTATTACCCCGTCATTAATTAATATAACATAATATTTCCATCGATCATATTATAAATATATGTGATTAAAGTTACTAGAGTCGTATCACGTCAATATCTCGTATATTTCATTCAGAACCCTTATTTAAATTGAAAAATCGTATGAAAATAATTTACCGTACGAATTATCGAGCGAACGTATATATCTCTACGGCAAAGCCGGTGCGCGTCAATGGAAAAACAATAAATACGACAACATGCACACGCGAGAGCGCAAAGTCGTGCGCAAGCTCTCTATAATCATGGAACAGGCTGGCTCGCGAGTTTAATCCAGCGCAAACTTAATTCGACGAGCGCGAGTGGCTTATCGCAAGCTCGAGCTATATCGAAATGAAAAAAAAAACAACAATGTCGTGTATCTTGATGAAACGTTGCGTTTGTGTGTGTGTAACGTTTTTTTCTGGAGAATCGTTCGAAGACGAAGTTTAAAACAAATCCAAATGTTTATTTCTTTTTTGTCCAAGAGAATGGTGTTGATCGAGGGATAAAATTTATTCTCGAAAAAAGTTTTGCTCTCGACGGCTTTGTAATCTTGTCGCTGAGTTTGATTTGCGTATTAATAGCTCATCGGTATACATTAAAATATAAGCTTTTCGCACGTAGATAGGGTAGTAAATATGTTTTTATATCCTTTCGTAATGTATCTTTTTTTATTTATTAAATGAAACGGTCGATAAAATGTGCCAAATTCAAATCAGAATGAAATTTTATACATTCTTATAAAATATTATTCTATTATTCTATTGTATAGTTGATTGTTATTTTATAGCGCATAAAAATTATCTTTCGGAGTATTTTGCGATATAACACGAAACTTTTCAGACTTCAGCCTTAAATCTCGTTAAACGTTTCTATTAGATCGGGTGCATCTTGTGCAACGCAGGTTTAACTTGACGTTGATTTTCCATCAATCCTATAATTTTTTTCTCCGGAGCGATAAAATTGGAAAATTTGTTTATCGAGTAAACCGTATAAGTGTAATAGAACGAATATACGTTGCTGCAACAAGTGCTTTCTAAAGCTTATTCCTTCCCAGTCACGTTGGCATAGCTAAATGCAAAAGGCCAGCACTGCGTTGGAGGTTCAACCTTATCGCTGGGATAATCTTGGGCCTGGCATTGATCGAACATATTCTTAGTATGGTTAATAACACGACGGTGGAGGTGTTTGATCGTAATCATTCTTTCGAGGACTTCCTTATCTCTTACACCAACAAGTCGCACAGTTTCATTGTGAAAAATGGTAATTAGTGCTTAATTATTAATAATTAAGGGTTTAAGAAAGTTAAAAAAGTAGAAAAATGTATATTAAAAAGCTGAATTCCACATTTTCATTTTTTCATGATTTTTAGTGAGCTACAATTTCACTCTAGGACTGTTCATCTTCATAGTGAGCAAGATCTCCACATTCACGTGGAATTTTACGGATCTGTTTATCATGCTGGTAAGATCGATCCGCACGCCAAGCACACGATACCATTGAATATGATCTTTAACTTTGCGAAACTTTAGATATCGGTCGGACTAACAGAGAGGTATAAGTGTTTGAACGAGCGGGTTACCAGAGTGTCGGCGGCCCAACTATCCTCGACCGACTGGCAAGAACTTCGCGAAAGTTACGCGGTGCTGAGCGCCCTGGTCAAGAAAGTCGACAACAAGATCTCCGGTATCGTTCTTTTGTCCTTCGGCAACAACATTTACTTCATCTGCCTGCAACTCCTTAACGGACTTACGTAAGTTAGATTCACATCCGAAAATATTTGTAATATTTTTATCGATTCTTCTGCAATTACACACAGGCCAAGCCATACGGGCAATAACATCGTTAACTCCATCTACTTCTTTGGGTCGTTTATTTTTCTAATTGGTAGAACAGCGGCAGTCACACTATTGTGTGCTCGCATCAACGACCAATGCAAAGTCATACTTCCAACCCTCTATAATTGTCCAACGATGAATTACAATTTAGAAGTAAGGACAGAGCCAATTTAAGATGTTTCAGTGGAATGATTTCGTTGCGTCTCTTCTTGCATCAAACTTTTCTGTCCCATTGTAGGCTCAACGACTACACCAGCAAATTACCACTGACGACGTTGCCTTGACTGGTCATCGATTTTTTTCCATTACCCGTAATTTCATGCTCGCTGTAAGTTTGCTCGATCCCTCATTGAAATTTCTTGCTATCCAATTGTAATTCGATTTGCATTTATACAGGTTGCCGGAGCGATTGTTACGTACGAGGTCGTTCTCTTGCAGTTCAATGTTGCTCTCAGAAGGGATGATTAGGCTGGGACTTAGCGATAAGAGACCTTTTTATTTATATTCACAAACATCCTTTTCAACTGGATTAAATTTCAAAATGCAAATCGTGCTCACCCTGATAATGTAAACGAAATGAGATAAGAATAAACATATAGAAAGGAATAAGATCCATTCATCGCTCCAATTTAAAAATTAATTCAGTTTCAGGATAAATCTCCAAATGTAGTGGGGATATTAGCGCTTGTACGTTGTAATAAGATCAATTGAAAACACAGTGTGAGGATCAGTGAATTATTTTGATTATCATTTTATTACCAGCAAGTTTTCAAATACCGATAAACATTGAAAGCTTTATACTCATCAGAGTATACTCCTCTTGTTCGGCACTTTTTTCACGACACTTATTTCTATGATAAGATAACAATTGTTATTCATGTATATCTTTTACGTACTATATCAATATAGATTATAGATGAAATTTAATTTATTTGACGTTGACAGGTAATATGACATTCAATTTTAAAGCAGAGATATGAAAAGACGACGTGTTTGCGTACATAAACTGCGTTAACAAATTCATTTTTTCAATTATAATATTTAGGATTTTTGTAATTAATGACATAAATATAAATATGTTACAAAAATATATTTAAATGAATTATTTTAATGGTCACAAATTTCATGTCGTTTAAAAAGAAATTCATTATTGAATATTTGTTTTCTTCTGCAATGCAATCCGTTAAATACATTTTTAAAACTCTTCAATTTTGGCGTCAGTGAAAGACGACGCTCCCTCGGACTGAAACAAAGATATTCTTTTTTCTTTATACCTATTTGCAGATGTTTTCCTCGATTGTAAAACCTTAGTGTTGGATTAAGAAGCAGCAGCAGCAGCAGCGTGTGATGGTAGTGTGTGCAATATATGACTGCCTTTATAAGATTTTGAAAATTGCTTGATAATTCTTACAAATGTTATGAGGTTAACTAAGATTCTGATCATTGTAACTGTCTGCAAATTCATTTGGACAAATTAAACTGTGAAAATTGCACAGTGAAATATTTTTTCTCACGTTCGTCATTTGTTTCTTTAGATTCGTTTACTATCATCAATAAATTAATATTCCTATATTGTACCTGTTAATACAATTATTTAAGACCGTAACAGTGACTTATCTATATGTACAATGATAATTACCTTTTCCAGCCCCCCCCTCTCTACAGTCCTTTGCATACTTGTTTAACAGTTTGTGATTTGTAAAGGTGATAATTAAAAAAATAAATAAATAAAAACGATAAGTATATACAATAAGTGTTAAATGAAGTCGGATGCGGGGAGCTCGATAAGCTACATCTATTACACAGAGAACCTATAATGCAAAAGCGAATGGATATAACCGTTGCTCATTGCGACAATGCCAATACGCATGAGCGCACTCTCTCTTTCTCTCCGAGACACAGGCGCGCGCACGAGCACACTGCACACGCACGTCTTCTCTCTGTGTGAAAGCATATAGGAAAAAAAAGCAAGCCTCTCACTTCACCTCGCAAACTTTTGTGATGTTGGAGTTCTGTTGGTGATCCGACTGCACCGCATTGAACTGAACGAGCACAAGCTCGTAAGTGACGATAGTACCGGCGACCTGTAAACGTCGTTCTTTCACGCTCTTGGCCGATCGACCACCTTCTTGTACGTACTACTGTATAGTGCGACGATAAACGTACTTACAAACGTACTTACAGTCAGAATGAGGCTTCGAGTGATCGAGAAGAACTTCATTCCCGTGAGGCTGACGTTATCCGTGGTGACTTGCGTCAGAAATCTGCGCACCTGTATCGACACAAGACACAGCGGATTGAGCCGTTAGTAGGGTTACCGTTCGCCTCGCGAAGCTTGGAACCGCGAGTTTGGCTTTACTTCTCTGGAGTAGCTCTCGCTGCAGACGCTGTACAGTATGGGCGCGGGCAGCAGCGACTCGTCGTGCACCGTGGCCGCGTACAACGACACTGCCGCCGTCCTCGACAGCAGGAAGCCGAAAGAGAAGCAGAAGTAGATTGTCTGGATGGCGTTCGGCATCGGTCTGCGAACAAATCGACACGTGTACGCGCCCGATTTTTCGTATTTTCTCGTCGCGAGCACGCCATTTCGCGAATATCGACGCACGCTCGTGGTCGGACGAGCGCCGTTCTTCGGCTCGCTTGCTCGGACGTAGAAAATTGCTGGCGCGCGAGGACACAAAAGCGGCACGAATGTTACTTGAAGGAGTTGAGCAGCTGGATGCAGATGAAGTACAGATTGGTGGAGAAAGAGAGCAGAACGATATCGGAGATCTTGGAGTCGACGCGTCTCGTCATCGTGACCAGTCGATTGAAGTCGATGCGCGCCTCGGCCCACCACCAGTCAGGCATCGACTTTACCATGAAACAGTACTAATTACATGTTTATTTCAACTACCGTTGACTGGATGAAAAACTTTGGCGATGCACGAGCTCGACTCGGACAAGGTGTGAGCAGCCGTGAGACGACGCGTCGGAACGCATCGCGGAGTCGTTCGACTCAGTCGCTTTCACGACACCGTAAATCGGATAACGACCATTACGGAGCAGTCTTATTGCTTGTAATTTGTTCGCGATGCGACCAAGTGGCGCGTTCGAATGTTCGGGCCGTTAGCGAGCCATACATCAGCGTAAAATTGGTTCGCTCGCGCGAGAGAACGGAGCAAACTTGCTTGTTCTCCAGTTGCGGCAGCGTAACTCGCGCGCGCAAGCTGATAAGAAACGACGAGCCTCTGGTGAAGGCTGTAGGTGGTAGAGCTACCTTGCCCCTAATTGAGTAGAGTCGGTGGTTGAGCTGCCTGAACTGGTCGGTGAGGGCGACGCTAACAAGGATAAGAAAAAGGTCCATAAAATTCCAGGAGAACGTACTAAGAAAGTTGATGAATTGGACGATAAATCCCTTCCAGAATGCATAGTTGTGATGGGTAAACATCTAAAAACATAGGGCAGAGAAACGAGAGGATGAGTTATTCGCGAAGCTGGCATTGTTATTGGAGCTGTGTACGTACGCCTGGGAACTGCAACATGAAATAAGTGGCCATGACGTTCCGGTCGCCGCGAATGCTCGCGCACTCGAGCGCGCTGAAGTATCCCGACAGAATCGACAGAGTGTGCTCCACTGTCGGACAGGCCATTCTCGTTGATCCAAATGGAGCTTGACAAGGCTCAAGCGAAAGAAACTAAAAGAAGCTCACCGAGCGCGAGCACCATCACGACCGCGCTGAGTATCTTGAACTTGAGCGCGAGATTGAGGGAGCTCTGCCGGTGCGGGCTGTGTCGGGCGGCGAGCTCGCGCTCCATATTCTCCCAGGAGACGGCAAAGCTCGGCCACTGGCGCGCCAGTTTGAGAAACAGCAAATTCGTGGTCCCGGCCGTCAAGGCGAACACCAAATTACCTGCACGCCCAAAATCCCCAGATTGGCCAGTCCTCGTCGCACGCATCGCCCGCGCAGCTGTGCCTTACTTGTTTTGCTGGAAGTGATGGCTGTCGTTGCCAGGCGGTAGATGCTAAACACTATGAGATTGATCGAGCCAGTCGCCGACACCACGCAGTACACGATTCTCACGCTCCGCCAAGTGAACCTTCGATCGGAATGTTGGTCTCGGCGTGACAAATCTTCGAGGAGCAAGCGCAAGGGCTGAATTGTCTCACCTCAGACTGGAGGCGCTCGCCGACATGACACCGCTCACCGGAAAAACACCGAACACCTGCGCCAGCACGATGATCGGCCTGAGGGCGCAGTGGAAACTTCTTGCGCTCTCGATCAGGTTCGCTCCGGAATTCGAGGCGCTCGGTCTTGACACTTTCGAATAGAGAAAAGAGGCTTTCATTCTTCCTCTTGGCTGCCGCTGTTTGCCTGCCCGACTTCGCTCTTTCCGAATCTGACGCGATTCTCGACGGAGTCACTTTTCGCGCGATGGATTGCAAAAGCCCCCGTTGATCCCGCGATCAAGATATGAGACAACTCACCGTCAACGGGCATGGCGTCCATCTTTAGAGACTCGTCTCTGGCGCGTCTCGGCGAATTGGCTGTCTTGGCGTTCCTGAAATGCAATTCGGACATGATGCGCCGTCAGGGGCGCACATTAGACTGGCACGAGCGCGGAGATCCGCTCGCGCGGAAAAGTTCGATCGAAGCGCAAGATAAACTCGTTATGCTCTCTCTCTCTCTCTCCAATCGACGCTCGGCAAACACATCAGCGCAATTCAATAGTCTCATAGCTCGCGTCGGCCCGACAAATCCTTGCCCAAGAGCTCGAGTACTCTCTTATTTTTCTTTCCCTCGCTCCCCCAGTTCGCCACGTCGACCTTCGTTAATATAACGGGCTCTCGCCATTTCTTTTGCAAAGTTAAGTTACGCGCCAATGACGGCTCTACTATTGTTTTTCAAAGTGACGCGTCGCGTGTTGCGCTTCAATTTGCTTGTCGTTTGACTAGCACTTGACTGCTGTCATTTATCTTTTATCATTTTGTTACTTATTTACTGCCTGCCATTTTTCTTATCTCGTCGCGCGCATCGGATCTGCCCGTTCCGCTAATTGCAGTTTGATTCGCAAATCTCGGGCAATTTTGTTTGTCGACCGCCGATGAAACGGAGGATAGTTTGAGAAATACGAAGCACTCGCATTAAAGATCAACGTTTTATCCTTTGCCCGAGAGCAGCGGATTATCCGCGCCTTGGATTGCCCATCTTGCGTCAGCACTCAATCCCGTAATAATAATTCAAGCGCTAAGGGCTTCACGGCAAATTTCATTTCCCTCGTAAGATTCATAATGCTGTGCCAACGTTATTGCAGCTTCCGTGGCAATTAATATTCGTCGCCGAAACTGGAACATCTATCAGAATTAAGGGTTCAGAGTGCACCGAAGATTACGACAAAATCGAGTAGCTTTTCCAAACAAAATTACAGTGACAAATTGGGATTTGCACAAATTTATGATTTTTCGCGATCGCTGTCCACGAAATATTGCGCAAATTGTAAAAAATTCAGAGAATGATCGACCGTCTGAATTTTAGTATAGTGCGCGCATTGTCCTGTGGATACAGCTTTTAAGCTTTCATTTAACACGCACACTCGCAAGATTGTCGGCAAAGCATAAAAAAAAGAACAAACGCGAGGCTAGATTCGTTTTTAAAATAGCTACCTGTTCTCGCCATTGGCCTTGGCCGATCTTTTGGTAATAGTCCAAACGGTCGGCTGAGAACTCGTCGACTTGGCAGGTTCGATGCGATACGACCTCATCGTGCTACTTGAAATGTCCGATGTCCCGCAGCCCCAAACGCATCATCGAGCGTCTGACAATTCGCATTCTAACTTACCTGCTTCGCTGCCTCTCCTTCGGTCGTTGGGCGTGCGCAACAACGCCCCATATCAATTACCACAATGCGAAACTGCGCGCGACAAAGTCTCAAGGGACGGATTGATCGGCGCGTCTTCGCGAAAGGAACAGAGAGAGAGAGAGAGAGAGAGCGATGCGACTGGAAGCTCTTGATGTACTGCACGGCACATGCCCACGACGAGAAATGCGTACACTCCTCCTCGTCGATTAATCTTGGCGGGCATGCTATAGAGCTACCTGTATAGGACGAGCCAGCACGCGCGTTCGCTGGATGTCTTCATTTGCACTGCGCGAGCTCGCTGTTTGTCTTTGCCTCCCCGGACACTTTTAAGGCTCTCAAATGGCCGACGGGGATTGCTTTATTTATTTTTTGGTTTTCCGCGCGGCGCAGCTGGAATCTAAAGTATCGCTGTTGCTCGGCCGTCAGAGCCTACGTCAATTGTCGACCAAAAACGCAATATAAATTGTCGCGGTCGAACACCAATTACAGGTTCAGCGTACGTGTATCGGCCTTCTGGAAAGTTCATTACTCAGCCGGACACGCGTTTAAGACTTTGCCGACGACCAGCTGCAATTATGAGCCACTGTGTATTCAACCGCTCACCTTTAATATAGTACAATTATCGCTATGAAGTATCGAAGTAACGCGACCTTGCTACTGGGAAGATCGCGGAGAAGCGAAGCATTAGAGTCCTGGTAGCCGACAATTTGGTCGAGGAATATCCACAGTAGACATATCACGTGAACTCTTAATTGCTAACGATTGATTAAATTGACGCTTACCGATAACGAATGACCGCGTGCTTTTATTATTTCAGTCGTGAAGAATCCGTCGGAAAGAAAAGTGGGGCAAAATAGCACGCAATCATTACAGGTGTAAACGTGTCGAGCGCCGTGTACGCTGTGTGAAAGCTGCCTGACTATACTCTGTCTTCTACTACTGGCACGCTACGTAAACAAACCATTCATATTTGACGAGTACTGCATTATTTCCTACTCTTTTTTATTCTCAATGTTCGCAATGGAAAAACAATGTAGCTTTAAATAATGCAAATTTTTGCCGTCGGATCCGTTCCCTTCCGTTCTCCTTTCGCGTTCAATGTTTCACTCGCTGCAATGCACTTCATCATATTTCCTTAATAAGCAGTCGCACTAATCTAATTGAGCGCTGAAAAATAAAGTCTGCGGATTAAAAGAAATATCATTTTTACGAGTCATGCGAGAATACGTACAGGCATATATATTCCTACTTGCAACGTATAGAAGCTTATTTACCGTGTCGCACTTTGCTGGTGCGTCGCTTTAATAACTCGATAAAACGGGCTCGCGCTTCGCCACCGATACACAATGTATAAAGCCACCTTTGACGCGCAGCCAACGGCGATACGCATGAAAATGAAAAATCCCGTATCAAAGCCTTTTTTTTTTTCTTTCTTTTGTTTTCAAACCCCTCCCCTCGTACGCATCGATGCTCGATTATTGACTTTTCTTCACATTTGCACGCGCGTGTATACGCGAGTGGTCTAACATAGGTCATACGTTGAAAAATTGCCTCAAAGGGTGGATTTTGTTTTATTAGTTTTTCCGAGGCGAAGATTCAAGGATATGCGGCATTTGTTTATTACCACGATTCCTCGCTCTCGGCGAAATAGGATTGTCATGTTTTCAACGTCGCGTTTGTCTACTCGGTGCTTAAAAATTTCTGTTCACAAAGTCCGCTGGATGTTCATAGGATTCCGAGCAAATTCATCTAGAATATTGCAGAAAAATATGAATATTCATGGTTGCAAAGTCGTCGTGAAGTATTTTATATGTAAAACGACGTTAAAAAATAATCGTCATCTGCTTTCATCTCATTTTTCAATGTTTATAAAAGATACTATAAGCTCAACGAAGCATGAACTTATGCCGCTTGCTTAGCATAACATTTTATCAATGAACAAGTCCCAACTAATAAGTCCTCTAGTTATAACCTCGACCCCAGCATAATCTATCACTCAATCCTGATTATCTGTGCGCTAAATGCTTCCCCAAAATGAATAGGAAAATAAATCGATACGCTGCAGCGAGCACCGAGACTTTATCGACGTAATAGTCCCTTGGATAGTTCTCGTACATCATACGCACAACTCTCGTGTGTTCGCGTCCGAATTGCATTATACGACACGCTCATTCGCTGAGTTTAATCGCGGAGAAACTGCGATGTCGTGGATAGCCGATAATACTCGAGCTTAATCGCTTGTAAGCAATTTTGCAATAACGGTGAGCGGATGTAGCGTCGAAATAAAGTCGAGTTTTTTTTTTCTTATGCTCCCCTCTCAACAGGAGACTTGCAAGTTATTCTTACTGCCGAACGATGACTCGCTGGAACACGATGCTAGTTTATCGTTGTCGAAACTGCTGACGTACCTCCAGTTCTATCGACGAGCTTCTATCGTCATCTGTCGATGAGAGCAAGCGTGAAATTAATAAAAACTGAGGGAAGACCCATACTTCTTATTTTTCTTCGGTAAATTAATGAAAAACCGAAACGCGTGAAAGTCTTGTTCATATCAATGTCAGGCAGCATGTTGGCTAAAAATAAAGAAACAGACGATGGAATATGAGGCGGGGCTAAAGGGATACAAATGAAAATCAGTCAGGTTGTTTTTGTGTTGGCTTGAGTATTTATTTTGGCGCTTGTCGTTTATTATTTACGAACAATAAAACACTAGAGACTAGCGATTTGCTTTTTCTTTCATCTTCCTCACCAAAACTTATGTCAAAAAATACATAACGGAACAAAATGAGACTTAATAACTAATGTCGAGACACACTCAATTGATTATTTTCGATGTCATGGACGCCTTTTTTTACTTTTATTACTAAATGATAACTTTTACAAATCCATCCATTGGCACGCTCAAACGATTACATAGCTTCATCTTTGGATTTTTAAAACGCCGTTTTAAAACGGAGATCATTGGATTTGCTTGTATTGTTTTTTTCTTGTCGGCACCTCATAACAATCGATCGATATGCTTATACTTCGTCACTTTTTAAAAATTAATATCCATATTTATATCCATATTTACAATTTGTCTATACAGTCGATATAGAATCATTAAAAATTTACATAACAAATAAAAAAAATAATAAAAAACCTGTCGATGAAAATATAGATCGATAAAAGCTTTCTCACACGCTGAAAGTGTCGTCGTTGCAACTATCAATCAAACACCGAGTTTTGAAATCCTATTAACCAAGCAAATCCAAAACATTCTCCGCGATAAATCAAGTTACCGTAAACTGAGGTAACATTTGGGAAATTCAGGCGTATACCCATTCGAAATGGGCATGAATAAATAAACGAGATGGATATCGTTTTGTCGCACGCTGACGCGCGTACAAAGTTCGACGTCCCAAATAACAATACGTGGCCACTTCAATTGACAGATATTAATACTCGATGATGAGTCTCCGTGTGATAAACAGAATTGACTCTTCGCAATAATCACTGGACATATTAGCAGCACCGGAAATTACAATATCGAAAAAAAAATACGGAGATGAAAGTGATTTCACGCGAAATACGAGAATCGTCCGGCGAGACTCGCAGAAAGACTTGTGTATTTGTGTGTACGCAATGTGCTTTTGTGTGTCGATGGTGCATATGATACATGAAAAACATATTTTTTGTTAATGTATTTACAAGAGCAAATCATTCGTACCCGAAGTTGAAGTTGCGCCACAGCGACGTCTCAATATTCACTCATTTTATCTTTGCATAAAATACACGTAATTTTGTAATATTTGATGCCGTATTGTGGACATGAAATAACTATCGATCTTTTTATTTTCAATCGTGTACTTATCGTTTCATACTTTGACATTTCTGAATTCGATAAATCTTTGAAAAAAATAGATGTAATTATAAAATGAGCCATCAACCGGGAAGGCGTAAATATGGATCTATATCTTCGTGGATATAAATTCAGTTTCGTCGAATACATCATTACCCGCTAGTTCAGTCGGTAATACGTATAACGACGTGAATCCAACTTTTAAACACTGAATGTCGTAAGGGTGCAACATACGCGCATGAAAATCCGCCACTGCGACGCCGCCGAGTTTTCCGAGGTCACTCTCGACTTCTCACGGTAATTTATAGTTTTGTTTGCTGCCGCGAGCATTTTCCGCTCTTCCATCCGTGCACACTGTCGCCGAGAGAAACTTTTCTCTCCCTCGCGCGCGCATTCTTGCACAATCACTTCCTTCTTCCAAATGATCTCTCGCAAACTCGAATCCATGATTACATTGATTCCACCAATTTAATCAGACGCGCGCGCGCTATGTGTGCTTGTTTTGTTTCTCTGACGAATATAATAAAAATCTCGATTTACATTGAGTTCGCTATATTGAGATCGGTTCCCTTAATAAATTATATTACAAAAGTTGTTTGGACTCGATAACACACTGGTTTACTCCTTTGGAGACATTTATAAATTGCTACATCGAATTATTACTCGCGTTGTCACTCAACAACAAAAATGCGATATTACAAAGAAAAAAAGATTTTCCTCTCGACTGGATAAAAATCGAAAAATCACTCGTCATTTGTAAAGTAATTAAAAAACACTGTCATTTTCATAAATAACGGTACAAATCTACATTAAATTCTCGTTATTATACTTGCTTAATTTTAATCTTCATTCGCGCAATTAAATATATTGTCATGCTAATTAATTTATTTATATCAAACGCGTTGTCCTACTTCTACACATCGTTATTTACATAAAACTAATGAATGGTATTCGCCAAAAAAAAAGAAAGAAACTAGAAGGTAATAACAATATCAACAGCGATAGAAAAAAATTGACATAATCGAAGTATATATATATTTCACATTTTCGTTCCAAGGGCGTATGTATATCATAACGTAACAATCCTTGTAAGCATACGCATGCTCGCTCTATTACAAGCCCTCGCGAGCTTGCGCGTTCGACCTTATGTAATAGAAAATAAGAACAGGAAAGCTTTTGTACGCTTCTTTCTCGTATACTTAAAACTATATAGTCCTAGAGAGAGAGAAAGAGAGAGAATTAGAACGTGGAAACAAAATACTGTCGGTAAACAAAAATGGGCAATCGCATTGCTCGCAGCACCACCCGTTCATAAACAAAAACGAGGGGGAGGGAGGGGGAGAGAGCCTCGAGATAAAAATACAAAACGGCCAATCCAACTGTTATGATCCTCTGCCGTAATCAATCCTCTCCCTCCTCGCTAAAAAAAATAAGAGCATGGAGGAATGCACGAAGAAGAGCAGAAGGAGAAGACAGCACGCTGAAGCTTCTCGACGTGTAGTTCGTGTCGCTCTTTAATAAAAGCCGTACAACTCGAGACAGCGAGAGAGAACTAATGAAACACATTGATCGTTATAATACTATATAGGTAGATAGAGAGAGAGAGAGAGAGAGAGAGAGAGAGGCTGCAAAAGTATGCAGGCATAAGCGCCGCGAGGATCGATCGCCATTTACTCGCTTTGAACTATCACATAATCGCCTTCCGAAGAAATCCGCTCGATCGTGCCCGCGCGAGTATGTCGATGAAGAAATACAGAGAGAGAGAGAGAGAGAAAGAGAGAGAGAGAGAGAGGTAGAGAGAGAGAGAAAGAGAGAAGGGGAGAGTTGACGAGACTCGACATTGATTCGCTTTTCGCTCTCACTCTCTAACACGTGCGTGCGTGTAATACTATCCCACGCAATCCAATTTACAAAAGCACACCCCCGCCGATGCTGCTACTGCTGCTTCGTCTTCTTCCTTGGCTGTTCACAAGGCTCGGCTTTTCGCCTCATCGTGTCAGCCAGTTGGTTGCTGCTGCGACTGTCCCGCTTCCCCCGGCTGACTACTCCTCGTTGCCTCTGTGACACAAAGACGTCGGTTTGCGTGAGCCTCGATTCGAACGGATTTTCTTGTCGGCCAGCCTGACCGAGCGTAGCATTTTCCACTTGTACGTGCCATTTGGGCCTCGCGCCTCAGTCGAGAGAGTCGACTGTCTCCCGTAGAGACGCGAGGGCTCGCGCGAAAGCGGGCGTATACCAACCGGTAGTGAGGGCTTCGAGCTTCTGCGGCAGGTCGCCGGTGGCAGTCTCGGCGTGCTGCCCGAGTATGTCGGGCATGGCGTTCCTGCGCCCAGTACGACCCGTGGACAAGAACTCCTCCGAGCCTTCGCCGGTTATGAAGGCTGCAGCGGCTTCCGCGCCGTTGCTGCAACCAGCCGTAGCGCCGCTCGCCTCGGGCCTCGGCTCGCCACTCGACTGCTCCTGCGACAGCATCCTCAGCACCTTCTTGCACACTGCAATGACAATGCAAATCAACGCTGAGTTGCTGCTCGGTCCAAGCGACATATCGGTTAATAAAGTCGTCAAAGTCTCTCCTGTCGTAGGAACGACAATCGTTTACAATTCGCAATTACGTAGCATCGAGCCTTGTTATAGCAGAGCTTGGCGCGAAGATTATTGATGATTTGACAACGGATGGATTGATAGCCGGGTGTTATTATGTTGACTTTATTTTAGCTAGAACTTCTTTTGGCACAGTATAAAAACATTGAACGTTTTTACAGTGAGCAATTATTTTAATTGTTTGCAACATTTTACACTACGGAAAAGGCATATTACAGGTTCTACCATTCGTTCTTTTAGAACGTCATTTCGCCATTTGCTCGTTATCATTATTATCGATAAGTTGTCCAAACAAATATTCAAAATAACTATCAAAAAGAATACTGATGTTTATTCTTTTATAAGAACACAGCGTGATCGTATTTAAGATGCACTCCAACGAGAAACATTTTCATTTTAATTATTTTTTTTCATATCTCAAAATGCATATTCCGACTGTAAAATTGAAATAGTTGATGAATGTTCGACCGCAAAATGTACTCTTACCCGAAATTAATGATCGTCGAGAAATATTTCGTTTTGTAAATACACTTTTAATAGTTCTGTTGTTCATAGTGTACGAAATAAAAACGACTTGATAATTTTCAGCTACGAGATTTGGCTTGTTTTTCGGTATACACATTCGTAAAAATATCTCAGGAGCTTGGTTATACCTGTCGGTTCCAAAAGTTATATATAGTGAAATGCAATTGAAAAGTTAATTGCTTTACCCTGCAGAAGAGTAATTATCTGGAAAATTGAATAGTTGTGCCAGGTCCTTCGAATGTCAGGCAAAGAAATAGCAATTATTACAGGACGAAAAATGCCACTAATTTTATTCTACGTAGCGATATTTATCTGTTCAAAAGCTCTTACCAGCGATAATACTGAATTTCGTACCCTTTTTCGATACATTTAATAAAGGTATATTGAGCTTGCAATTATCTCGATTATAGTAATTACCATTATTCCCCCTCTCCTCCTGAAATAATTACCCGACGGCCAATAGTATAATTTTATAATTATGTAATTTTCGCTTATCATTTCAGTCTAAATAAGCGCATTTGCGTATATTACTAGGTACCGAATAATTTACTTCCAAGTATGAAACAGCCGATTGAAACTGTCAATCGCAAAACTTTCCGAAGGCTTAGTTATGGTAAAAATGCGAAAGGCAATAAACCTGTAATTACTTGTTCCTCATGGCTTTTGTTTCCTTCCACATCAGCGTTTCATTAAAGTTCATACTCCCTCCGTGAAAGACAGCGTACATGCGGAAGTTTGTTTAGGAAAGTTTCCGTCAAGTCAATTGCGTAATCTATAATCACGGCAATTTATTCCAGAATTAGAATCAAGCAAAACTTTGGGTTTATTTTTCCAACGCGAACGAAGCCACGCAATCGCAAAATTTCGTCGACCAAGAGAATGCATCGCCTGTACGAGTATGTCTTGGAAAATTTTCAATATATGCCGTTGTGATTGCGGGGGGAGAAGAGGCCACGCAACGCTGGAAAGTAGGGCACGCCTCAACAAAACACTTCGTCAAAAACACCATTCAAACTAAATTTAAACGTTACGTGAGAGAGAAAGAGCAAAACTTTGCTACAGGCAGTTATGCGCGTGCATGGAAAACCGCACTCATGTACATTGAAAGCACAATTGACAATCTTTTGCCAGTGACAAAAACGAGCTGGATTTACGTTAGCACACTTGGCAAGGAAGTTAATTTGTTTGGGTAAGTAATAGATGTAAAATTTAAAAAAGGGGGGACACTGCCAAGGTGTTTTAAGATTGCCGGAGATTGATAAGGTAATACGCCTGAAAGGCTTTGAAGCAGATGAGCTGTTATTCAATTGCAAAACCGACTCTTACAACTGCGAAATTACTATCGCTGTCTCTCTCTCTCTCGCGAATAAGGGATTCCCTTGTCTTCGCAAAAAATTACGGGGATTATGATGTTCTTGCGGAGATAAGCGCACAAATATAATAAGTAAGCCAATTGATCAACAAGGAAATACATTTGTTTGTTCGGTCTCGCGAAAATAGGAAGAAAACAAATCCATGGAAATCCTTATATGAGGGCAAACTTAGAGAATGCGAGAGTAAGAGTGATTAATTTTGCGAGAAAAAGCTTGCTCTGGTCTCGTTCGGGCAAACAGCAAAGAAAAAAGAGAGTCCCGTGTGCGTGCGAGGGAAAGCCAATACGAGGCGGAGGGCAATACGGTGGGCGGACAAATATCACGAGGTCAACGAGATGAGGAAGGAAGCCAAAATAATGGCAAAAGAAAATGGCGACACGCTTCGACGATGCTCTGCCTATGCCTATCGATCTGCTATAAGCACCTTCGTCTCCTTCTTCTTTTTGTTCTGCATCGAACTTTCTCGAAAGCGAGGGTGCGGTAGATCAACGAGCGCGGACTCATTGGACTTCAGAGACCTTGTTTGCGTCGAAAGGGAAGAACCACTTGTCTGCCGAACGAAGAGCCGCGTTTTTACTTAAATGCCTGGCGCGTGCAATTTGAGCCTCCTTTCGAAAATGGCACGGCCAAGATTTTCGTCGAGATTCGTCGCCTCGCGCGGCGAATACGTTACAGCTGGGTCATTCAGCGCGCTTTAGCATCGAAACATTCCAGTCCCCGAGCAAGAATCGAGCATGGGGAACTGTATAAAGCGCGAGAGAGCTTCACTGCCGGTCGGGCGGATATGCAATTCAATGCCAAGCAGCAAGCAACCACGTTCGATAAATAAGCCTGCCTCGCCTCGACTACGGGATTCTACTACGGGGAAAAAATGGTACTGGTAACAAAAGCCCAAGTGTCGCGCTAGAGGGCTCGCCGACGCACTACAATACAATCTCCTCGAGCGTGTCGTACAACCTGGAACGAGGCAGTAGGCAAGCTATGAAAATTCAAACGTCTCTCCTATCGATCCCTTGCTCAAGTTGTACATACAGCGTGTGCAGTGCAAGTTACGGGAATTTGAAAAAACAGCATCCAAAGAAAAAAATATACAGAACAAAGTCAGGGAAGAGGGTTATTTCGGGTTAGTCCAGTGAGGTGATGAGATTTGCTTTGTTGGGTGAAATATTTGTACCTTGGACGCGAGGCCTCTTCAGCTTCCTCAGGCCTTTGGCGACGGAGACGTTGGCCTCCACTTTGCGCTGCTTCACCTGAACATTTACACGCAGGTCAGAAGAAATTACAAAGAGAGAGAAAGAGAGAGAGAGAGAGAGAGAGAGAGAGAGAGAGAGAGAGAGAGAGAGAAAGTCGCGCGCTCTGCGTTCGTTTGTTCTTCATTATTAACTCTCGCGTGCCTTCTCCCTCACAAAGAGCTTTGTGCTTGCAGCATGCGCGGGTCCTTTTTTACTTTGCATTTCTTTCAGAGAGGCATTTGGTAATCCAGCTTGTGCATTTAATTAGGAAATGACTCTTGTTGTTTTCTTT